ATTTCATTGCTCACGTATTAATTTAATTTAGTAAATATTATATTACAGTTTATATACTAATTTTTTGTTTTATAGTATTTTTTACATTATTAATATAAATTATTAATCTTATTTTCTAATAAATATATATTATGTTAATATTCTAACCTGTCGTCCAGATATTCATTTATATAATCGTAGCATTTTTGTATTAAAAGATATTTTATTTTTTTGATAAACGTATTAAAAAAAATCTTTTTTAATATCATTGGATAATTTATGATATATTTTTATGGACATGACATAGGGGCTAGATACACGCATTTGTAATCTGGGCGTTGGTTAATTTAGTCTGTTTTTTGTGTCAATAAACTAATAAGTGTATAATTATAAAGTAAATAATATGATTATGATATAAATACCCAATCAACGGATTTAACAAATTCAATGAATATCAAAATCAATTTAAAGAATCTGTTCAATATCTAATCAAATACCTTTTGTTGGTGATTAACAGGTTATCAATACCTATTTAATGACTAAAGCAGTATTATTATCATATAATCAACACTGATAACAAAGAATTTGTTGTGTCGACTGTAGTGGGTTGCATATCAATGTTTTTGTATTATAATTACCAGTAACTTTAAAGGTTTGAGGAGCGTGCAGTGCAATATTGAATTAAAAGAATATGTGATTGTCTCATTGATATATTTTATATTAAATACAGTGCTTAAGCAAAATATTAGTTTGTGTATTAACATCAACACGGAGACAAGTGAAATTGGCCATTAAGTGCAGCATACCTAAGGCAAAGTTGCGAATTGATGTAATTAACGTTCAGTATGTATTTGTCTGTTTGTCCGTTTGTCCTGTGTTATTAGATTACAAATTGATATTAACGAAGTAGTAAATGTCACGTTGACGGGTAAATGCAAAAGAAAATTAGACCTTACGAGGGTCAAGGGTTGATAATATATGGCAAATGTCAGAGAAAATTGGCGATGACTAAGTAAGAATAAATGAGGTCACAGGCTCACAGAATACAACATCTATTTTAAAACTTCATTGTATTTCATTCTTGTTAGCATTATATGCTCATATTTAAAAAAATCTTTTGGAAAAATATTTTTTCATAGATTTGATCTATTTAGACGTTTACTGACTAAAGTTTAAAAGAATCCAATGTTTTATTATTTACGTTTATTTAGTACTAGCTTTTGAATAAACTAGAATTTCAAAAATTGGTTTAGTGGTTTAGGCGAGAAAGCGTAACAAACAAACTCACTTCACATTTATAATATAAGTATCTTCCATACTATGTATAGTGATCACACTTTCTTGCGTATTTATTTCTTGAGTATACATAAAACCTGTGTTAACTAAACTCTCTTCAATAATAACTTTAAAGACCTACTGTAAAATTAAATAACTAAACTGTATTTCATACTATTGAGGTAATAAACAATCACATTTCTCACTGAATGGTAAGTGGTTATCCTCTTCAGTAAACAATTATTACACCAGAAAAGTCAGTAACCCAAAGACTTATGGATCAACGGTTACATTACCTTTGCTAGGTAAGTCGCTGACGACCTAGAATAGGGTTGTCCAAACCAAATACTATCTAGGGCCAGTATTACTTAATAGATTGGAGGGCTGCCAAAAAATATTTGACTCTTCAAACTTCACCAGAATATAAAAGTATTAAGGTAGGTATATTGGTTTTTAGATTTAATAACTTTTCCACTAACTTATCTTTTACAAATATATCAATATACGTTTATAAGTATATAAGTTACGAATATAAGTTTTCAAATAAGATATTTTCTTATTTAAAGATAGAATAAAACCCAAACTAAAAAAAAAAAGGTGGCCTACAGGCCACTTTGGTCAGCCCTGATCTAAAACATCACTCACATACTCAATACAACAAAGTATAAGTAAAAACTACATAAATATGTGACAGCATTCTACAGTCGCATATGAATTTGCTTTGACTTGAATATTACTATGTATATAAGACATATTTTAAAATATTATTTAAGACATATTTTAAAATCTAATTGGATGACATTAAATATTAGTGTTGAGGATAAAGTATTTTTCAATAAAGTGTATGTAGGCATTCTCATTGGTGTTCTAGAATTCATGACACAAGATATGCTTAGCTATGTATGTGTACTGTAGTAATACTGTCCTTGAATGTATTGTCATAGTATGCCAACTGTATTATATAAGTATACGACGTATACAACGAATATGCGTACTTCCCCCTTTGGGCGGCCCTGTTTACATCCTGATAATAATATAATTCGTTGATAACGGCTTACGATCAATTTATTTGAGTCACAATACGCGTCCCGTTTTACTTTTTCTAGCAATTTATAATACTAAGATTAATAAAAAAATTACACTTTTCGTCGATTATGAGCAATTGTCTCTAAACGAAGTTTCATTCTCCAATAAAACTGTTTTAATATTTCTCAGTACCTTAAGCTCATTTACATAGAGCAACAACTAGGATTTGAATTTTCACCAAACATTTACAAACAAATTTATCTCTTTATCTCGTTTCACTGCGTTATAATGCTTATGCCAACAGTAAATCCGCATTTCGCGGAGATCATTTACTGCGCCTTTATTAAGCATTGAGCAGGGAACACATCACGAATGAAGCCCGCGCCATTGCGGGCAGGCGCTAGGAGGGTTCCGGATGTCTTAATAATAGCAGTTCCCGAATCCCTCCTATTACAGGAACAGAGTGGCATACCGTGTGGTTTTAGTCGGTCTGCGAACCCCAGTGGGGTGACGGCCCGAGGGGGTTTACACACGTAAAAAAAAAGAGAACATATCACGAATCCTTTACTTGCAAATTCCAAACCTAATTAGTCAACCATAAAGAAATTATATATTTACGCTGTAGAGAAAATATTTGTTTATGATATTCCTGTAACATCTACTTATCTGAATTATTTATGGAATATATATGTAGAATATAAATTTAGTAACTTTAAAAGTTTTGATTTCAAAGCAGTTTAAAACAATAGAAAAGTCTCAAGTGTGTTAAATTGAAAACTTTAATAGTTTATTATTAGAAATTCTATTGAAAAATATCAGTTTGAATTCAAGTTCAGAATAATTTCATTTCGAATATTTTAAGCTACTTTTGAAATCGTGATCTTTTTTCATAACGTGGTCCTTCACTGGGAGTGTTCGCTTTTAACGTAACATTTGGAATACTGCGATAAAACTCACGATAAAACATGTAACATTAATTCGCACCATTTCCTAGATTTTGATATGAGTCTTTCAACTTTCACCTTTTTTTTGTAACAAATTCTGTATCTTTCAGTTCAAAGGGTTTTATTTATTTGGTATACAACAAACCAACCAACAACACACACACAAATACATACTTATGGAATATTGATCTCAAATAAAATACTTGGTATGCATACCCATTACAGGTACTTCCAACATTCACCATAATAGATAACAACGTAAATTACAATATTACGAGTAAAATAATACAAAAACTAAATTAAACTTACAGTACTTAAATCTAGATAACATATGAATTTCCAAGCTTACTCCACTGGCAATATGACTACAAAATTCAAGGACAAACAATAGAAATAAAACAAAATGAAATAAAAAAAGTAAAATAAATGTTAACATTAGTTTGTATTTTTAGCGTCTATATATAGCGCTTCTAAATTTATTAAGAGAGACATGGAGTTATTGTATATTCATGGACTTTGGTTTGATGGTATGGTCATTTAATGGAGGATTGGCTCGAGAGGCATTACGAGACCCTCTCATACCGGCTGACGCAGGTGATCACTGGGAAAGGATGCTTCGGGGATCACCTGTGTTTGATCCGCAAGGAGCCAACGCCTGAGTGCCACCACTGCGTTGGTCGGACCGTGGACACGGCACTCCACACGCTGGCAGAATGACCGGAGTGGATGGAGCAGAGGCGTGATCTCGTGGCGGCCATCGGAGTGGGAGTTCTCTGCTGTCTCCTTCTGCGAGCAAGTTATACTTGCAAGGAGATGGGAGCGGGACCGGGAGAGGTTTAGGACACTCCCGGCCTGCCAAGCTCGGGGACGGGATAGGTACTGCAGACGACTCAGGCGCCGGAGGTCGCAGAACGATCTCCGCCCACCATAAGCGCAGGCCTGGGGGTGACAGGTGAGGCCATCTGTCGCCCTAGCAGAAACAGGCCAGGGTGGCGGCAGAAGAGAACATGTGGATTTCCCACACAGGAGGAGGAGGAGTCACCTACCCGCCGTAGATGGCCCGTGGTACGTCGGGTACCAGGGATTTCCTTTCTAGGGTACAAAGGTACCCGAGACGGCGTGCGGTTTTGGTCGGCTCGAGTCCGAAACAGCCACCAGTGGGTGGTATGCGATGGGATTTCCACACAGGAAAAAAAGGTGCCTCAATAACTGTTAAACACGACGATATTTTAATTACTTGAAAACGAAGCGTTTGTTTTGCACGACAGCACGACGCTCAGAAAATCACAACTTACGATAAAAGTTTTCACTGGTACTACTTATAAGGGTTATGTAGCTTAGAACTAGTACTAATGAATACCTATTTGTATCCGGAGTACATTTTATTTACTTCCTGAACCTATCGAAAACATAACATGTAAAACCTAAGCCTCGTGATGAAATTCTTCTGCCACAAAAGGATTGATTGGTACTTAAGTTGTTAACTACATTTTACAGTGACCTTGTCAATTTTAGACATTTGCATGTCACGGTATCTTAATCACAGAACAATTAGCTAATATATTTAATAGTCCTAATTAAACAGAGCTCTATCAAGTTTTTATGCATACATAAAGCCGTGCCGAGCCGCAATGTTTGCAAGAGCATCAGTGGGTTTAGGCATATTTTATGCTAATATGAACTCAACCAATCGACGAGCATTGTTTAAGGCACACAATTAAACAATTATTCATAAGTTCTTATTTGTTTTCAGATTCAGTTTTAGAAACATGAAATATGATACCACACGTACAAGAAAACAGGGATGATTTAGATGAAAGAGAGTACATTTATGACACTGATAAACATAAAAAGAGTAAGTATTTATATGTAAGCTATTGTATTTTGATAATAGCCAGTTGGATCTGTCTCTTCTAACCTAAAATTGAAAGATTTTTACCTAATCCGAGAGATCTTGATACATCTCCCTCTCCACTCTTTTTATATTTATTAAAAACAAAACTCACTTAAACTCTTTATTTAGTCTCAATTGCAACCTTTAAGTGCAATTCTGGATTCAGATATAAAAACCTTGTCGTCAAAAGAATCAACACAGTTGCTATTTCCGCAGTTCAATAGTCGTAGCTGAATGTTGGATAACTTCTAACGTCCCTCAATGAAAATTCTGTTCAGTCTTGAAAGAATATTTTGAGTTCGACTTTTATTTCCAAGAATAAGTGCGTTTCAACAACACACCAATTCTTCGACGTTATCATGTTGATATAGAAATTTTGAATAAAAACTGACTCCTAAAATTTAGACATGACATTGTCGGTTTTTGTAATATATTCTCATAAAGTTATAAATACACACATGAACAGAAAGAGATCCATCGTTCGTATCTCACGCTTAGAGATCTAATACAGAAAGATTTCAGGTAATATAGCAAAAAAATTAATGTCAGTAATTTCCTTTTCAGACAAGAAATGGTTCAATTGGCTGCTATTGAACAAACCATTGAAAGCTATTATAATTTTCTCATTAGCCACAGTAGTTGCACCACTACTACTTTACCACTTTCTATTCCACTCAACATCTACTAGGGAAGGATCCTGTTTGATAAGAAGAGATGCTAGACTTCCATGCGGCCCCGGTAACGTTACTGAAGCAGAATGTAGTAGCGAATGTTGCTACGATCATACAAATCGTTTCTGCTTCCACGTATTCCCATCAAAATTCACCTATGTCTTAAACGAAACCTGGAGAGAAGAAGTCTTCTTGTCACCCAGATTGGCTACAGTGCCATTCGGATCTCAAAGAAGTTTAGACAGGATTAGAATTTCTGTTGATGAAGTTTCCGCTACACATTTATCTTTGAACTTTTATAAATCTGATGAACAGATAATTGGAAGAAGAATTAAAGAGAAGAACTATACATATGCCATTTTAGGAGAGAATTTAAATGTTGTTGTTAATGCAACACAAGGAAACATCTTCAACACAGCACATGGAACGTTTATAGCAGCAAATGATATTTGGGAACTAACATTTAGAATTACTAATGAAAGCATGTTCGGCTTAGGGGAAATACCTATTTTACCCGATACTGTTAAGGTAATTTATAACCACAAAGGAGGAATGACTTCAATACCTTTAATATACGCAAAACTAAATGACTGTTATCACGGACTTTTGATAGATACCATGAGCCCTACCGAAGTAATTATTAGGGGAGAGAATCAAATGGTCATCCGCAGTATTACTAAAACTGGGCTGAAATTTCATTTATTTGTGGGACCAACGCCATCGGATATTATGAGAGATGTTATGATTTTGACCGGGAGGAAAAAAAACTTTGAATACTGGATGCTGGGTCCTCATTTCTGTAGGTGAGTAAAATAAATACTATTAATACTGACTTCTGATTAGTAATGGAATGAAATAAGTACACTGCATGACATAATAATTGTTTTATACAACTTATTGGATCACTAAGCACTAATTTGTTAGTGACAATAAGCAGTAAAGCGTAATCACTGAGAAGACAATGCTAATCGAAGACAATCCATCCACCGAAGACAATCCAATCCACCGATCTGAACCCACTACTAACATAAGATTTTTTCCTACACACAAATAGCGTAAATGCAATTTGTATGGGTAAGGAAAATTCTAATCATAATAAGACTAATTGTATCAGTTAAAAAGTTTTTCTAGTTTGTTGTCTCTTTCTATCCTGTGCGATAAATATACATAGGTATCGAGTTGATGATTATATTTTGAAGAGAACACAACGGCAGTAACTCTAACAAAATGCATTTATAGAAATCGTTTAAATATTGTTTTGTTCACCGTGTCGTAAAAAAAATGACGGAATGTTACGGTAACAACTAACATTTAAAACATTTGTACTCTAGTTTCCTGCAAATTTATTGATTACTAGCAGAAAGCGGTGCTTTACGAAGGCTCGCGAATTTTTCGCGATTGATAATATAAGTAATTACTCATTATTTTCTTCTGCTTCAACAAAAAAAACGGTGTATTTTTAACTAAACATTCTGTTTACACCGATACTTATTCTTTACTTTTCTAACAGAAAAGTGTTATATGTATATATAATAGTGAAACTCCAATTAATAAATATAACACATGCTATTTTTTTATGATTATCGACAGATGGCGTTAATACAGTTACATAAAATTCGATTCAATAAAATGTTTTGTCTTCTTTTTTTTTATGTGAATAAAATAATATTTTTTATGATAAATAGTGTTATCTATAATAAAAATATTATTTTTATATTTTCTTATCACAAATTGAAATTACTAAGCCAAAACTTAAAATGTGATAGTTTCTGAGTAAATTGTACCACTAAAATCCATAGATTCTGGGATAGTGTTAGATCTCGCTTCGCTCCCCGTGATTAAAAGGTTTTTTTTCACTTGCTGTTGGTTTCAGGATTTATTATATTAAATAAATAATTATTTTGGTACATTAGTTTGATAATTTTAAAAATATATAGATAGAAAGATAGGAAAAATTAGCGTCCCAAGTTGTTATTTCAAATCAAAACAAAATGAATACTATACTCGTAATAAAGTGAGTAATTATATTTTTTTAAATGCCTCCCTTTACCTTACTTTACTTTATTATCTATAAATCATATCGTTCAATGATCCGTCTAGCACAGGTCTCTTTAAATGTTTTGCTAATGTTAATGTTTATTGCTAATGATTCTAGTAATGTTATCGAAAATATAGAATTTTAAATGTTCGTCTATTTATCTACGAGTACATTAGGTTTTGCACACTGGTTAAAGATCGACCCTTATCATGATTATTGTTATATTCCATCGAAGATTGAAACCCATTTTTTTAATTCATGCCACAAAAAGCACCAAACACAAAACAGAGTGAGTACATGGCATTATTAATGATCATTATATACTGCGATATTATTATATATATCCTCGTCTATCTACCCTGTGTTGGAGACTCTAAAAAATAAATAAGAAGAGAATAAAATAAATAAAGTGTGGTGCCGCCCTTTGATTCACCCTCAAAAATAGGGGAAAGGGGGGTAGGGGGAACCTCACTCACTCAATGAAAAGCAACGAAACTATTGCATAACCCCTGTTTTCTAAGAGACTGTTGTATCACTCCGATCAAAAATGAAAATGGTATGTGAGAAAGAAAAGAAAAGTTGCATGTTTGGTGTTCACTCAAAACCTTAACACTTTTTATGTTTTTACCCACACAATAAATGATTACGGTAACCATTTGCCGACATGAATAAGTGAATCTTAAAATGAAATTTTGCTTAGACAGGATTTGCGTCCTATTAGATTTATTCGTAATTTCGTATTCTTCTTCTAGAAACAGTAAAGTCTTAGTATAGAATCAATGTAGAAGGCAACGATCGGTCATTCGATCACTGTGTAAGACTCGCACAAATGCTTCAGAATTTTTAACAGGACGAGTCAGATCTAAATACTCGTGATTTGCATATTGGGTGATATCTTGAACACTTAATACTTTTGTTAAACACTTGAAATAACGTTTGATGACAGGGATCTGACAATATTGCGAAATTCATTAGTGCACAGTGGAGTAGCGGAGAATTAATTTATTGGCTCCACGCCTGACCCGGCTGGCGAGATTTATTGCCTTGCCTACTTTTGGTTGCTCTACCTGGGTAGCATAGAGTTCACTACCCTCGTTCTAAATTGAACCCCAGTGTCAATGATTTTCTGCCTAAATTCAATTAAAGATTAACTTTAAAGTTTTCGTTTCGTGATACTTAAGTATATAATTTTACTGACTAACAGGTGCTCAGTATGGCTATGACCCCAATAAATGCAATCTGAATGCCATTTCTTGTTATAAAAATTCGCTCCCAACTCAGTTACGATCAACTCTCGATCTCGCAAGTGTCATTAGTATCGTAGGTATTTTCATAGTAAAGTAGTGAAATATTACTAAGACCAGCATAAGTTTACCGATTAAATTTTCGGTCACAAAACGATATAATCACATTACAGTCAACGTTGAATGTTTAATACGTCACCACGAAAATACCTTTTGACAGTTGTCAGATCGAGAGTTGATCGGAACAGAATTTAAAAAAAAAAATACGAGAATTGGCCTTCTGGTCGAAACGTCAGGATTTAGGTAATATTTAATAAACGCATTATTTACATTGTTATGTGATATGAAAGATTCGTTGAAATATATGAATGCTATGTTTTAATAATAGACACTAAATGTAAATACGACGTAGTTCCACTCAATCGTAATGCCACTTTAACATAGTTTCTTCAATACTTTTAATAAAATTTAAAGGAATTCAAATAAACATATTCAACTCAAGCAAATAACAAGTTATAAGTGAATAAGTTTTACAGACACGAGAAATTTTGACACACAAAATTTATTCAAAATATATTTTTATGTCAACTGAATATTTCTACTTCTTTAAGATACCATAGACAAAATATTGATACAAGTGTCAACTATTCGTTTAAAGCAAATTTTATTTCTTAAGCTTATTTTTGAAACACTTGTCAACTAGAAATAAATATAATTTACTTATGAATAGTTAATATTTTCTTCGCTAATAGAAACTAAATAATTAAGATGCAGTCTTAGATATTAATTGTTAAAATTAAAAATACATCAAATCTTATTCGACGAAACAATCTATAAGATTGTTTCTTCGAATAAGATTTGATGCCTTTTTAATAAAAGATGAATTTACAAAATATTCATTCTTATTAATAAAAAACCTGATCTGCAGTAATATTAGGCTTACGCCTGACACTCTTTTTATAATTAAAGAGAGTGTGACTAAAGTATTTCAGGTGCTAGACGTTAACTCATCTCACAGACGGCCCTCTGATCCCAATCTATACAGAGCCTGTACTAAAGTAACCAGACAGTTGATAAAATAAAAGAAAAACAAATATTATTTAATATATACTATATATATCTCAACAATTACACCTTGATACACATTGATAATTACACCCAGACACATAGTCGAGCTAGGTATAACTTGTATGTGCGCTAGGTGGGGGTCGATCCACGACCGCTGAGCCGGTGACCGAACCGTCAGAAGCACTCACTATTACACCAACAGGGCAACTTATTACAATGAAGGGTTGTAATATACTTGATATTATTACCTAACTCCTTTATACTGATAATATCTAATGCAGAATAACTTATACCATCTGGAATAGTTTATTGAGTTGTAGGTTATTTACGGCGCACGTTGTTCAAAATTACCTGAATTCCGTAACAAGGACGCGAAGAGAAGCAAATATTTATATAATGTATGCATGTACAGAATTAGTTACTTCCAAACTTAACAGTACATTAAACGTGACTAATTTAGAGGCTCAATTCTAAGACAAGAGAAATTGTTGTACGATGAGCACGATCGATTAGAAATATATTAGTTGGTAAAATCTAATTGTGATAGGAATGTCTCTGGTATCAGATGGCAGTGTCTGAGATGGATTAAATTTCGTTATTATTGCTATAATTTTAGCAAGACATACAAGATTCTAGATATATTCTTTAATTTCATGCAATTAAAATGATGTTTGTCTTATAACGAAATTTAAATGCCAGTTGCAAACCTTTAAATGCTACTGTTAAATTTCTCATTACTTCAAGTTCATATTGGGTGTTTTAATTTTAAGAAGCATTTATATCTGAATCTACTATTATTCTAATTTAAATTATTCTTATTTCATATTGAACTTTTTACATACCCTTAGTCGAGATTTTAATATCGCTTGTAAATTAATATTAACTACAGGGAGCCGGGTCTCTTTTATAAACTGGGACGAAGCGATTAAAATTGCTCAAGCTGTTTTCAGCTCAAGCAATTTTAATCGTAACGGCTTTTGCATTTGTACAATGTCTAGGTGTTTTAGATAGAAATTTTATTTTCAAAATTACTTTGTATTCGTCCGACAAGGCTCTATTAAACATTTAGAAGATATATTTTTTTTTTTAATCGTTTAAAATTCATTTAAGGAATCAGTCTTTCGCAGGACGCAATTCCAAGTTAACGTCATAGTACTCGTTGTAAAATGACTAGACCTGACATGCTTCTTAAGTAATCAGTAACCTCAACACTTTTATAAAAACTAAATCACGATAATGAAATAAGTGTACTGTAGTCACTAAATAGCCATAAAATTGTGTTCATTTCTGAGCGTTGACATCAGTTGACATATACAGCAATAAACATTTCTAATTAACACATATAACCGACGTTAATTTTTTTTCATTAACTAACTCATGTTACAACTAAAATTAATACGAAAATTGTCATGTATGTTTGTTATGGATACTGGACTATACTCCAATATGAATATTGGATAACGGATTACAGATATGTATCTTTGTCATAGAGATAGATTATAGCCTAAAATATAGCACATAGATTACTCTTTATTTAAAAAAAATAGATTAACAAAACTTGTAAGCTTAGTCTTATCACAAATATCAGATGCTAGCTTTCGTCCGCAACTCCGCATGCCTGTATGTCGGTTATCGCGGTAAATAGTAGCCTATGTTACTCACTGACAATCTAGCTTTCCATTGGTGAAAGAATTTTTAAAATCGGTTCAGTGGTTTAGGCGTGAAAGCGTAACATACAAATAAACTCACTTTCACGTATGGAGGTACTGAACTGCCAGCTTATGGTTGAAATTTAATAATATATGACTGATTCTGATTCTAGATTTTTTATATGTTGTACTTTAATTTCAGTGACAAAACGACCCTAGACGAATTAGGAACGTTCATAAACACTGCCCAACAGCAGTTTATGCCTTTTGAAAGTCATTGCGGAGTCGCTCAGCCATCTTTCAGCAGTGAATGCAATAATACACATGTACAGCTGGTTAATGATGGTGCCATGGCACTGAGGAACCATAACAGAAAGTTTGTGCCCCATGTTTCACCTTATGTAAGTGCTTCTATTATTGTCCGATATTATTTTTAATTTTAGTACTAATTTAAATGCGTAGGCTCGAATGGATATTTGTTACTCGAAAACGCCAGAAAGGCGTAACGGATCTATAATTTTATTAAAAAATATGTTTAACAAAATTTACATAGCACAATAGCCAAAACCTCCGTGGTATAGTAGGCCAAAACCTCCTTTCTAAGGAGAGGCCTATGTCCAGCAGTGGACTGTTATAGGCAGACTGTTATAGACAAAGAACAATGGCGGGTCTCCTTACAAAAATATATTTAAAATCAAATTGCATCGTCTTGTAGTAAAACAAATATTTAAAAATTCGGCTATTTTTTTAGAATCTATGTGTAAAACCATTTTTGTTTGGGAAAGGCTAGGAAAAAAAATATTAGCATTTGATTTTTTCTATCTGTGATGTCTTTTTCTAAAGAGTCCACAAATAAGAGTCTTTTATAACATAGCCGCATAATATTTCCTTTATTTTTACAATTTGTCTATGACTATCGACTTTTCAAATTAGTTTTTGTATTGTTTTACATAATTATTTGATTATTACAACTGTATGTGTGCCATTTAAATAAAATAAAAAAAGATAAAAAATAATTATTATGAATTATTAGCTGTAGAATTTTCGTAGGTTATATGTTTACGTCACTTTTATTGTGCCTGATTCATGAAATAATCATCTTATACTTATGTACATCTGCATAATATATAATATCCAATAAGTATATTCCTTTTCCTTAATTTACTACCTATTTCAACATATAATGAACAATTCATTGCATGTTGAAATAGGTAATAAATTCTAAACCTAAACTAATATAATCGGCGGCGGCTGTCGCGTCAGAGGTTTAGTCTTTATAATTAAAACACAGAGCGCAAACGTCTGTCAAGAGTTGTCAAAAAACCTATGCTTTTTTTTAGCCTGCAGTTACCACTACAGGATTTTCAAAAACGTAAATAATGCGCTACAATTATAAAACTATTATCTGATTACCATATTGCTATTAAGTGATTACCATATTACGACACTTTGGTTGACAATATTTCCACTACTTGAAGAAATGGCTGTGAAATGGTAACACTAAACTGATAAACGCAATTAAAATAATCAAATAATCTTATAATATTTTTCTTTCTTTTGGGGTTTACTGACTTAGACGATAATTTCAAAAAACGTAGATATTTACTAGAGTTAGTTTCCTATGAATGACATTTTAAGACGGTTAAATTATACTTAACTACGAATTCGCCATTGTTCTAAAAAACTAAAATGTGATAAAACAGTAGTAGAGTTTAGGCTTAAATGAAACAAGATAAAGATAATCGTTTAGATTTACGTATACTTAATACCTAAACGAATATAAACCTACTAATACTCAACATATTCATACTCAATCAAACATGAATTGCCTTTTTTGGCACAGGTTGAATAGAATTTACATTTTATTGTAATAATTAAATTTACAAAAGTTTTTTTTTAACTTGACTATTAAAATTCTTATTTGGTCAGAATATCACATAACAAATGCATATAAAATATGTATCTCTTCCTTATTGAAACCAGCCAGGACCAGCTGCGAACTATACATACCTAGAACACCTTATCCTAATCAAACATGTTTCGTTAAATAGCTACGTTTTATTAGATACTTGTCAATCCTGTAGTTTAAAGCAGTTGTGTGCTCAACTCCTCGAACTTATATATTAATGTTTAATATAATAGAACTTTCTTCAAGAATTGCTCTATTCAATCTTTATTTCTACCATTATTTCTAGAAAAGCAGGTTTAATAAAAAAGACTACATATTTATGAGTATAGATTGGAATTATTTTAAAACTGATCTCGATTTCTTATTTACCATGAATTTATCATTTATAAAAAGCTGTAGCAATCACAAGCAATGTCATCTCTGTGGAGTAATACACGCACTAGAAGTCACAGCGGTAGGTGTTAGCAATTAGCGATAAAGATCATATAAATTAAATAAATCAGACTCACTGACAGAGTTTGGGTGTCTTCTATGCATAATATGTGTGTATTTACAAAAAAAAAGGAAATAATTATTCTATCAGTCAATCTAGCTTTTATAGTACAAGCTCTGCTTAGTTTGAAACTAGATGGCGTTGTGTGTTAGATGTCTAAAGTAATTAAAAAAAAGTTTACATCTGATGTGAGGTAATTACAAAAACCCTTTGCAGAATATTTTCTATCATCAAATAGCAATACTTATTCAATGCCTAAAATATAATATGTTGTTCAGTTTGTACTAACAAATAAATACTAGTATTGTACATACTGAAATCTACATAGTCACGAAATGCTTTTTTGCAATTCGTATAATGAGCATGGTAATATATACACTATGTGCAATGCCAGTCTGTCATATATATCACTTCCACTCACACATCCACTTATTTTTCTACAAAAACCATTCACGTTTTCTGTATTTGTTTGTTTGTTTTTATTAAATTTGATTCAAAGTTATTTATTAAGATTGAATAAGTTTAGTTTAGATTATTAATTATTTTGTTTATCAGCCATTTGAAAGCCACACAGTTTTTCAGACGCTTTGAGAATTTGAAAATAATAAATTGCAACTATACATTGCAGATTCTATATTCGAAACCAGAGGTGTCCGATAAAGAAGTGACTACTGAAAGCAGTTCCGAAAAAAGTCATGTAGTATTGTCAAAATCAGCGGAACGTTGCTTCAACGATGAGGAATTCGAACAATATATAATCCGTGACCCCGATGCCGAAAATGTCTATATCGGCCTTGTCGACGAGCGAGACGTTATATATCCTAAATATGACAATGTCAGCGAGGCATTTATGCAAAAACTGTGGATATACGCAGATGTTGATGGTGTTGTCCTGAAAAATAATTGGCCTTTAGACGAATCTGAGAAAAGTGTTAACCTAACACATCTTTATTTGCCATATTTTAATAAGGTATATTATATGTTTATACAAAAAGCTACTTACTCTTTCACTTTAATAATCTCTATTTACTTATCTCCTTACGTGACGCAATGACCAGCTTTCTTTGCCATCACTTATTCAAATTCGCTTATTCCAATATTCTTATTTACATTTAAGAAAAAAATGCTTTCAATGGCAATATTTCAATATAATGGGATTAAAATATATTCCATTCTTAATTTTTCAGAACTTTGAAACAGCTTTCCAATATACACCTCAATGGAATGCCACCAGACCTGAAAGATATCTTTATACACACAATGATTATGGAAACCAATTTGCGACGGCGTTTAATATGGTCAAGAAGAATATTCCAATTATAAGTACAAGTCAATGGATTAACGTAAACATGGTTCTTAATCGCCAAAATATAGAAACGTCCTGGGCTAGTTTTCATAGAGAACTAATTGAGGGCAGTTTAGCAGGCATCTCTGGTAATTGGTACTGGTCTTCTCCTGTTTGTGGAGATACAGAAAACATTAATGTTCATACTCAAAATAGACTTTGTGCTAAATGGTATATGGCATCCACGTATTTTCCGATGATACAAATCAATTCTAAAGAAGTTAGAAGAGATCCTTTAGCATTTACTGGGATTGACAGAACTCACATGATTAGAGCTTTAAGAACTAGAGCGAGTATTATGTCCTACCTCTATTCAGTTCTTCAGGAAGGGCCTCTGTTAAGGCCCATGTTTTACCAATTTCCCTCTATAGAAGAACTGACAACTATAACTACTCAGTTTTCCGTGGGAGACGATTTACTAATAGTACCAAATTTACATGCTGGCCAAACGCATGTCCATGTTCGAATGCCTCCCGGGCAGTGGTTTGAATTCGGGAGTGGTTTTAAACTTGAAGGCGATGTAGGACAAACAGTTACAATGACCACAACGGAAGCAGATTTCTTGACTTTGATACGCGGTGGCTCCATCATGATACAGCAAACGGTAATTTTTTACTATTTAAATCACTCACTGTCACTTTACATGGTCCTTCAGACATACTTGTGTACTTTACATATAGATAATGCGTCAATAACTCCTAGTGTTACATAACTCATTTCAGGATACTGGTTCAACGGTTGCTGATACTCAGTTCGCTCCTTACACCCTTCTTGTTGCACTTGATTGTGAAGCTAATACTACTACATGCTCAGCTCAGGGAAAATTTTACATGTCCCCTGATATGGTAATATTGTTTGAAGCAGATCAAACTACAGTGAACGCTACTGCTGAGGGTGATAATTTTGATGTTTTTTGTGGATGGTCCGATAAATTAGTGTGGAATGAAGACATTTGGTACATCCGAGTATATGGCTTAGATAACGATAAGAATAATAATGACCATCATTTTATGGGTGACGTTTTTATACGTCTATGCGACATAAAATTTATGGATAAAATAGTTTATAAATATAGGTAAGATCTCTATTTAGTCGATTTGACTTGAAGAAAAAATTTAAATAATAATTGTAAATGACTTTTCTTTATTAAAATAAAATCTAAAGCAAGTAATGTAATCAACATTACTTGCTTTAGATTTATTCATATTTCGATTTAAATATAATTGATATTTATTATTTCACATCCAATTTATTGTTTTTTTTGTTTCAAAATATATATTTTTTATTTCGTTTCATAAATGCAAAATTGTTTTGAGCGAACGAAGTGTTGTAAGAGTTTATTTTGTTTATTATAAATATAAACATATTTGTTTCTCTTTTGTGTTTAAATATTCAATTAGATGAATCATAGGAAAACATTAAATCTTACAAGAAGAGTTCCTGTTCGGTCCTTAATTCTAAGAAAAGAGCAAAAGTTTAAATGTTCACTTCGTCAGTCAATTACATTTCAACTAGTGGAAATCTGTATAAATCTCTTTTGGATGTTGTACACTTCACATGAATAATAATAGTTAAACAAAAAATCTTGAAATACTCATATATTTAACAATGTCCTAAAAGCCACACAAGCAATGGTTAACTTGGATATAATAACGCAGTTATTATTCACCTGTCTAGATTTCTATTCTAACGTTAGGACTGGTATATTATTGGTATTGCCTAATAGAAAATTTATTATAACTAAACAAAGTTTATTTCAAACTACCATATTTTCAGCGTATCATAGATATTTTTGGTAACCTAAAGAGTTTTAATCGATTCTTGTTTGTTACCATAACAACAGTCAGAAATAAGCTAAAGCCTCGAGCAATAACATTTTATCAGAAATAACGCAAGTTTAAATAGATCATTAAACGACCTTTTTATCGCAAAGATACGTTTAATACTCAGGTTGAACTCTCGTCTTACGCACTCTTCAAAAATTAATTTGATATTTAGACATATTTGATAAATTGTGATCAGTAAACAGTAATAAGGTGATCAGTGTTTATATTGATGTGTTTACTGAGTCGGATAACCCAGCGGAACATACACTACATTGACTGACCTCTTCATGAACTTAGATAAATCGCCACTTTATCACCACAATAGCCAGTTATTTAGTAGAGAAACGCGAAACTTGAAGGAAGTCTTCACTTAAGGTGCTCGCGCTCATGAAACCTGAAGAAAGTCAGAAGACTTCTACCAAGGAGAAACCAACTAGACACTTTTCAAACCCAGGACCTAGAATGCCGAACATCAAAATATTCACCGGTACATCTCACCCAGATATCGCAAAGAAAATTGCAGCGAGACTCGCACTTGACTTAGGTAGAGCTACCACGAAGAAATTCAGTAATAAAGAAACCAACGTCGAAATAGGAGAATCAGTACGAGGTGAGGATGTGTATATTGTTCAAAGCGGTTGTGGAGAAATCAATGACAATCTCATGGAATTGTTTATCATGATAAACGCATGCAAAATTGCGTCAGCTTCTCGTGTGACTGCTGTAATTCCTTGCTTCCCTTACTCCAGACAAGATAAAAAGGAGAAAAGCCGAGCACCGATTACTGCAAAGTTACTGGCTAACCTGGTATCAGTAGCTGGTGCTGACCATGTTATAACAATTGACTTACATTCGTCACAAATTCAGGGATTCTTCAACATACCAGTAGACAATCTTTACGCAGAACCAGCAATAACCAAATGGATTAAGGAGAATATTCCTGAATGGAACAGTAGTGTCATGGTGTCTCCTGACGCGGGCGGAGTAAAGAGAATGACTGCTATTGCTGATCGTCTAGATATCGACTTTGCCATCATACACAAAGAGAGACAAAGAGCTAATGAGGGTGACTCAACCGTCCTTGTAGGAAGTGTGAGAAATAAGACGGCCATAATGGTTGACGATTTAGCGGATACGTGTGACACTATTCTCAAGGGCGCTGAAGCTTTGTATGAGGCAGGAGCTAACAAGGTGTATGCTATCCTTACGCATGGAGTGTTTGCAGGTAACGCTATTGAAAAAATCAATAACTCCAGATTAGAAGCTATCGTGGTGACCAACACGATTCCACAGGAAAAACATATGAAATTATGTCCTAAGATTCAAACTATTGACATATCTGTGATGTTAGCTGAAGCGATAAGACGCACTCACTACGCGGAATCGGTGTCTTATTTGTTTACAAATGTACCCTATTAGAAGTTAAATATCTATTGTAAGATGTAACTGTAAATACAATGATAAAAATGTTTTCGTTATTAATCATAAGAATAATAAACGATTGAATGTATAAATAGTTGTACTCACTGCACTACAATAAATGTTTAATATTGCTTTAAATTGGCTAGTATTATTTTCAGTTATAACTGAACTTTAACGTGTTTTGTCTAATCTAAACGCCTATCTATCTAACATTAAAAAGGATTGATTGCTGCCCGTACTCGTTACGTAACATTGGTATTGGAAATAAACAGAAAGCACTCGTTATTATTTATAAAATATACATTTTTAATGTGCTCTGTAAAAATATAAAGTATGATGCAAGCCAGACATGAAATACTTACAGAATAGACAGACTGGCAGGCAAATCAACTGTGTGTAATTGAAATGGCGAGAGAGAGAAAATATTTTTTTTATAAATTCTCGTATTTCTAAAACAGCCTAGGTGCCTAGGGGCATGCAATTGGCAAATAAAGATACCAATTCTATCGATCCAACAACAATTTTAGTCACACGAGTATTGATTCACAAAACTGAAAAGTTGACAGCAGAGTAAAAGCGACTAAACTCCGGGTGAAACTCCGGTCTTCTAGAACATACAACTTAATGAATGTAGGGGCAATAATAATGTTAGCCATTTGTTATTTCTTTTGTAGCCTATGTTTATACGAGTATACATTTTCATGTAACAGCATGTTATGCCTATAGGTACATAATTGGTTCTACGTCGAATGAAATAATATATTTTAATAACACCCTACACTGGGAAACCCGTTTTATGTTGTTATTGAATTTATTTAGAGACTAGTAACATCTAGTATTCTAGTGATACTGGATTATATCTATATAATTCAGTATCGTAAGATGCGGTGTTCGCGCATGACCACTGGCCACTAACCTTGTGCAAGTTTTATTCACTATTTCTGGTCTGGAAAAGTCATCTTTTACCGAGGGTTAGGTACTATCCGGACCAGACTGTGATGTGATACTATCCAACTAATGCTGAATGATAAAAGAGGGAATTGACTTGTTCGTAGTTTCTTTATATCACAGGTAGAAAATCAACTAGAAACATCCTTTAATACCAAATAGGAGCCGGTAAACAGCATCACTTAAGCTTTGATAAAACAATCAAATTTTATGCTGCTCTTGTGACCACAAACATGTCTATGTTCTTCTGCGTGACGTCTTTATAATTTCAGTTAGACGACACCGATTAGAACAGAAGTTTACTGTGTAAGTCTTGCCCCGCCCATAAGCTTAGTGTTAGATGGTAACTAAGGCATAAAAGACAAATAGTACTTATATAGAATACATACTCATTAAAAATTCAAATAATAGCGATTCTCAGACCTACGCTATTCAGTAGAAATTAGCTTGTAAGAAATATATTAAGTAAATCTATATTAAACTAGCTTTTACCCGCGGTTCCGCCCGCGTGTTGTCGGCTATCGATAAGTAAAGTAGTCTATAACACTCAAGGATAATATACCTTTCTAACGGTGAAAGAATTTTCAAAATTGGATCATTAGTACCGGAAATTACCCCGAACATACAAACTCAAGCTCTTTATAAGCTACTAGCGATTCGGACCTACGGGCCGACGCAGCGACGGCAGCTTTGCCCCAGCATTCAAATCTCTGTTATCTACCAAGATATTCATTTTAATGATATGCTCTGTAAGGCAATTGTGATCTATATTAAATGTATAACGTATCTAACGTGTTGATTTGGATAACGAAAATATACGGTATTGTTGGAAATAGCTTCGTAAATTGGCCATTATTTTTTGTAATATGTAAACGATAAAAATGGTTACTGTGGGTTATCCTTAGGACATAAACATGTACCATCGGAGGACTTTTATTGTAGATCTTTTTAAGATATATAATTCCGTAGTACATTTTCTTGATCTATTTCGTAAGGTTTATCCAGCGTTTGCACTGGAAACGCACCAAAACATGTTTAATACACTATAAATTCGACTTCAACGCAAACGACGACAAATGACTTCACATTACAAGTCTTTGAAATCGTCGGATTTCCTCTACTATATAATATGCATGTATTATACATATGAACCCGCCTCTTGAATCACTGACTCTATTTGTGAAACCCGCATTAAAATCAGTTGCGTAAAGATCTAAGCGTACAAAACAAAAAGCTTTTTATACTATGTGAAGATGCTTATTAAATAACTACTTACGTCATTTTATAATCTACACCAGGGTCAGGGTGTTTTTTTTTAATGTTCTTATTGTGATAAAAACTAATTAATAAATGTTAAAAATCGGAAAAACATTTTACATCATTCAATGATAGCGTAAGTGAAGATAATTGCCGTCATAATTGAACACGATAAGAGGTCTCGATATTTTCAGAACACTAAGAGAGATAGAGACACGGTTTTTAGGAGTTATAAGAAAAGACTTCTGTTTTTTAATATACTTGATTTAAAAATAATATTTTTAATGGTACATCAAGCACTTTTGAACATGTATGTACATTTCCCCCAACTCCTAAAATTATTTTCTAAGTATAGTTACCCTACTAAATTACAGTTACTTACTCTTACATTTAGGTTTTTGTTTTAGAGTTACTTTATTTAAAAAACAAAACGTTATTTAGCCATAGTTATGTGTTTCGTTTTCTTAAATCAAGCTATTATAAGGAATATATCTTAAACATATCTTGCAATTACTATTTTTATTATTTAGAAAGGCAAAGTTATGTTAAATATTTAAGTTTGAATAAATTAAACATATTTAATAAACATATTTATCAAAAATTTAAAATCCTGTAGTTATTTTTTTTATTTAGGTTTAATAACAATTGTTTACATCAACACTTGTAATGTGCACATGCTAAAGAAAAACAATTAACAATGAGACAAAGACTTACAGGTAAACACCACTTTTATTAAAAATTATACACACATTAACTTTATTTTGGCAATCGATCAATTATCTAAACACAAACTTGCGTGTCAAGAAGTAAAACTATTTAGAAAATAATAAGAAGTAACATATCAAAAGGAGACTAGGTCACCCACGTACAGTTTACTTAGTTAAACGAGTTGTGGTGGTCATGACGAAATCGCCCGACCGTTGGAAGCGTTCTATCTTAGAGATGTTAATCCAGTGATCAGGAGGAAGTAGGCATAAGGTGCACATGGACGAGACGTAGGTTATGTCAAATGTGCGTGTTATGGTTGAGAACTGAGCTCCTAATATACATATCTACTTGCTGTCTACTTGGAATCAGTAGTTAAACGAGGTAGGCACGTTTAAATGATCTCAAATGGCAAGTGTTTGTGCAATTAAGCAACGTATTCTTATCCGCAAAAAGTCAGTATCATACACAGACAGAAAAGTTTCCGATCAAAATTTGACTGCACGAATGGCGTTATGGTTTAAGCGTCGGTTGTGGGTTCGATCCACACATGGGACAACAATTTGTGGATCACACAAAGTGTTGTTCTGAGTCTGGGTGCCCTTTGTGTTCGTTTCATGTATGTTTTACAGCACAGGACTTATTCCTAGAGCGGTAGTTGTCTTTAAAAAAGAAATACAAAAAAACAATTGTGTTCGATATCTGATCTCTCACTATGGGCTTAATAAGCTAGCTCAGGAAAAGCCGTGGAGAGCTCATAATCCGATTACCGGTTCAAATCTTTCACGACTATAATGTGTTCTTATATCACGTGCTTGTCGCAGAAACAAACATGTTCTAATACAAATAAACCAAGTCCCTGTTATTTTAGTGCAAACATGGTAGACGATAAATTATGCAGCAAAAGCTTTTCTCGGAATAGCTCCTAAGGAATTTCATTTTAAAAATCTTGTAGAAAAACCTTTTCTTTAGGTTTTTAACAAGATTGATATTAACGATAGGTACGCCTTCTGAGTACCCAGACCCATTGCAGAGTGATGACGTACATATTATATTCACAAGTACGTATTGTATTTAAGAAACAAGTGTTATCACGCTGTATACAATAACATATCTTATGGAACAAATATTCCGTTACATCATACTTTAGTTGAACTCTATTCATGAATGTGACCTCCGTACTAGTAGGTACGCTTTCGATTTTTATATCAATGATCCCTGCAATTCTTGTTTAATTAAAAAATATCACTATACACAATTATATAGTCAATAAAATTTCTACGTTTTCTTTTATTGCTTGCTTTAATAAATATATAAAAATAGATCTTAAAGTTAATCTTTGTTATTGAATACCTACATTTCATGAATTTTCAGCGTTACTTGCCGTTCGTAATTGCTTTTTTACGTTAATAATAGGTAATCACACTATGGGGTGCGGGATCCGAAACCTACGCGAGGTGCACCCTGGGCAACGAAGACGGCAGTACCTCTCCCTGGGTTGGGGAGGCACTGCCGCCTACGGCCCATTCGGCCGAGGTGGGAGCAGCCCTCCCGGGGGTTGCTTAGAGGCTATCCGCGTGCCCCTCTGTTTGGCGGAGGTCACAGTGGAGGGTGGGCTAGGGGGCGGACGGGTTCTCTACCGCTGGCTTTGTCCAGAGGTGGTGGACACTGGTCTGAAGCAGACTACCGTCCGGCCAAGTCGTAAGCCAAACTGGCAACAGTTGCTCTTAGTTCTCTCATTGCTCTTAGAGTTGCCAGGTCCCACTACAGAGCTGCTGTGGAAAAATCCAAGGGCAACTTAATTCATAAACTTGTTGATAAACTCGATAGAGAGGGCCCGTGGTCACCTTTGTATCACGAATTTAAGGCAAATAGATCAATCGACCTTGCATACATACAGAACATCAAAATTAATAACAGATATACCACAGGAGTAGAACAAACAGCAGAATATCTTTTAGAATCACTCGTACCTGACGATCGGCCGGAAAACGACACTGATCATCACCGACAGATCAGGCAGAAGGCCATCGAACCACCGCTGTCTCCAATGTCTGATTTACCATCTTCAGACGAATTTCTCGGTATCATTCGATCTTTGCCGCTAAACAAGGCTTCGGGCGATAATAAAATATCTAACAAAACGATAAAAGAAGCTTGTAAACTTTCGGGTGACACGATTTTCACTGTCTTTAAACGTTGCATTGCTGAAGGAATATTTCCTATATGGCGGTGCGATAATATTCGTATAATACCAAAAAGTGGCGACAAGCCAACGGATGATCCTAAATCCTACCGACCAATCACATTGTTACCATCGTTAGGAAAGCTTTTAGAACGTCTTGTAGTGCCCCAGCTTCTGCCAAGTGGAGTCAAATTTCATAATAGACAATTTGGATTTACGTTGGGTAAATCGACAACTGACGCTGTTATATCGGTTAGAAAGTTTGTCACAGAGTCAAAATTTCAATACGTGCTGGCTATTTTCTTAGATATATCTGGGGCCTTCGACAACGCACGGTGGCCCAAGCTGTTGCTGAAATTAAAATCACGGGGTTGCTTTAAAAATATTTATTCCCTTATCTCTTCGTACTTTTCACAAGGTACAACTAAACTAAGACTTGGGCATCATTCTGTGTCGAAGGCGCTTACAATGGGATGTCCTCAGGGATCGGTGCTAGGTCCATACTTGTGGAATATCTGCTACGACGATTTTCTTGCGATACCAATACCATCCGGATGTACTCTGAACGCGTATGCTGATGACGGCTTATTACTGGTGGAATCTGATACTAGGGCGGGGCTTGAGAGATTAGCCAATAGATGTTTGAACTTGATATCTCAATGGGGTGAACGTAATCGCTTAACTTTTGCACCCAACAAAACCTTCCATCTACTTTTAAAAGGTAACCTCAAATCACCGCCAAGCATTAGATTTGACAATGTTACTGTAAAAAATAAAACCTCAGTGTGTTACCTAGGATTAGTTTTAGAAAGAAACTTTTCATTTATCGAACATATTAAAATAGTTAATGAAAAGTCTAAAAAGAGTTTCTGTGCATTGACAAGGATATCAACTGCGACATGGGGTCTATCATTTAATACATTAAAGATCATATACGGAGCTACTTATTTAGGATCTATGTGCTATGTTGCACCTGTATGGGCCGATAGGGCGACCGTAGGCGCTGTCCGTCGCAAACTGTTACAAGGCCAACGACTTGCACTGATATTCTTGTGCAAGGCATATAGGACGGTTAGCACTGAGGCTTTGCCGGTGTTGGCGGGTGTGCTTCCGGTCGATCTCGAGGTGCAGAGACGTGCAGCCATGTACTATTCAAGACAACAAAACACGGAATGCGATTTTTTGGGCGCGCGGGATCGCTGTAAAATTACAAGATTGCTTCAACAGCAGTCCGATGTCTATAATGACCTCATAGACGAATGGCAACAACGCTGGGATGAATCATCCAAGAGGCGCCATCTTTACCAATTCATTCCATCTGTTCGCGAACGGTTGTCGAGGACATGGATTGAGGTGGATCACTGTGTCGCTCAATTTCTTACGGGTCATGGTAACTTTAAGAGCAAGCTCATTTAAATTAGTCGAGTCACCATTGTGTCAATACTCAACACCTAACTCTCACTATGAACAGTTTGCTCATCTTTTCCTCTGGGAATGTAGTCTTTGGTATAATGAACGTAATATAATGCTGAATAGCTTGCAGGTGACATCTGGGGCGGTATTCTATGGGGATCTTGTGTCAACTAGGGTGAATTTCCGTGCGTTTAGGCGATTCTGCCATACATATTATAGAAATCAAATATAGCTCACGTAGGACCCGTAATATTTTTGTGGCCGTGGTGCTTCCCTGTTTAAAAGGGTGTATGCCCATTTTACTTCATTTTGTCTCCCGCTTTGCTAAGGAGGGAAGTGGATTTACTGTATTTCCAACTCCTCCAATTTTCTTCTGATTAATTTCGTTGCGGGTTCCAAGACAGTTTAATTTCTTCCTGGGACTTCCCGAGTGTCATTACTCGGTGTGTTCGTGGGTCACTGCTGTGGATCCTGGTGTACAGGAGTTACAGTGGTGGGCGTGTGGGTGGGATTAGTCCCAATAAAAAAAATACTGGCAACAGTTAGGAACGGCGGCTGTTCGAGGGCTACGAGGAAGGTCACCTCTATAAAAAACCTCGGGGCGGACGGACATGGTCTGGTGCAGACCCCGTCCGGCCCAACCGTAATCCTGAACGGACAGGACCGGTGGGTCTTAGGGCCCGCGAGGACGTAAACTTCTATAAAAAACACCCCAAGCCCACGCTCTGAGGCCTGGCAATGGGCTGAGTCGCTGGAGGGTGTTCTGTGCCAAGGGCGTGATGTCAGAGGACGTTAAACTCACAAACTATGGCATGGGGAAACAAAAGGTATCACCTACTCCTGAGGAGTCCCGAGATCTTTTTCTTCCTTCTTCAATCTTAACATAAATAAAAGGTCCTATAGGTCTACTAGAATCTTGTGACAAATAGGCAAATCTAAATTCGCAGTAGATACTAACCTACCTATAGTATTCGATGTTGAGAATATATTTTGTGTAAATATTTAGTATTTACTCGTATCAATATGCCTATAGATAGTTCAACTCAGTTGTGCGCGCGGCCCTATGTTTGTAACTTTCATTCGTGTGGCAGTGACGCGGCAGTCGGACGACGACTGCCACACGAATGAAAGTTGTATATTTACAAGCCCACGCACACATAGGGCCGCGCGCACAACTGAGTTGAACTATCTATACTAGTGTAGTGTAATAAATGTCAGGACAATAAGCATTTAATTTAAAATTATTTAGCAAAAATCCCAATAGGATTTTGATTGGTGCCAAAGAATTTATAAGTTCGTTACACGCACAACCTTTTAAACGCGAAATACTGAAATAAAAAAAAGGACAGGAGATTAGTGGGAAAATTACTTCCCACTTAGACTTCTTTCTTCTTCGAGATTGAAGTGGCTTTCAAATGCAATAAATATATTTGTATTAGATTTTGAATAGTGTCAAAAACTGGTAAAAATGTATTGGCCATAGACAACATTATTTGGAATGTAATAAATACACTTCATTAAATCTAGACTGAGGTCATAAGTACCACCATTGATGCTACTTAATTCTCTACTGAGAATTACACCAATTAAATCCTCTATCTCAAAAATGAGTAAATCAACATTAATGCGTAGAACGGATTATTAAATTAAAGGTGCTGCCATCTATTAAAAACTCCTAGCACTTGTTGATTTCATTATCAACCACACCAGCTGTTTGATCGACGCTTACACTTCTCTTTAGTTGTAAGTATCTATATAATCTTTAGATACGTCTATAGTGTCTATTATTTACATACCTATCTGCATTGAACTGGTAACGCTCTCGTCCTTGGCATAAACCAATGTGTATTATTTAAATTTCTGATCGTACCGATGATTATAAATAAGTTTAATTGTCAAATCCCTACCACTTAATTGAATCCTCTGTGTAGATGTTGAAATAATAACTTACTACCTCAGTTTTATCGCAGAGTACTATATAATGTTTTTATATGTAATTTCTTGAGATACAATGACACACTTACCTATTTTTTTATTGTAAATTGACGCGAAGTGTATGGTATTATCGGATTAAATTCATATTTGCCGATAAGTTTTTGATACTCATATTATATGTAGATGCGGACAGACTTATCTACCAAGTCTTTAGTATTATTACTGTAGGTACTCTGCGCTACCAAGATACTGCATTGTGTGACGGAGGCTAAAGTCTACAAACTGCTAACAGGTAGGTATTTACTAGGTATCACTTATTTGTAGAATAAAATCAATATTCATACCCTAATTTCAAAATCCTCACTTTAATTAGAGGTCATTTGTGTGTGAGTGACACTAGACATATGAAAATTATAAAATTAAAATATCTACATATACATTTTCACTATGCATTTTGCCATTGGGTTTTGTTTTTTCCTTTAATAATAGCTTTTTAAGGGTTTCTTTCTACGTTCGGTGCATACATCTACTTACCAAAATAATATACCTGAATTTAAACGATATAGGTATTGCAAATATTTTTTTTGGTGTTTGCACATCCAGCTAGGCTCATCATCAATGTAAGAGAAAGGTCGCTATTTAATCGTTTCATCTTTTTAATCTACAGTTACCTGGTGGCATAAAATAAAAAGATTCTTGCAAAAATTCAACATATAGGTATTTTTTATACAAAGTATTGGATGTATAAATCTACCTTTTTGGTAAAAGTTGTCATACAATAAACATAATAAAATTATAACTAACCGTCGGTGTGTTCACGATAATAGTAAAAGAACTAATAAGTCTTTCCAGTTCTCAAAATGCACACAATACTTTACAAAACAGTTGGAAGTCCACCCGCAAGAGCGGTAATGATGTTAATCGATATTCTCGAGTTGAGCATCGATCAAAGAGAATTAAACCCGGTTTTACGAGAACAGGACACACCCGAACTGAAAAAGGTAAGGTTTAGTCTGTTTATCGCAAATAGAATACCTACATCTTAAATTAAGTACTCGTCTAATTGTTTATTTCAGTTAAATTTTGTGGTTTTCAGAAAAATCCGATGAGGACTATTCCATTGCTGGACGAAGGTGATTACTGGTTGGCAGATAGGTAAATTCACTATTTTTATAATAATATCAAAAACTCTTATATGCAAAATTGTGGAGGTACTTAGTTGCAATAAATTATATGAAACCTTAAACTATAAAAAAATATATCTAGGAGATCGTTGAAGTCTGTGTCGTTGAAGTTGGGCGGTAAACGTTCAAATTTCATAGTGCCTTCGGTGCATTGGGTGTCTGCCCGCTCCGATCATCTACCCTATCAATTATCATTTATGTATGGATTTCTAACCTACTTTATTTCCTTGCAGCCACGCTATTATGATATATCTTCTAGAAAAATATGGCAAACCAGAGCATGCGTCTTTGTATCCGAAAGACCTTAGAAAACGTGCTACCATTCATCAGAGACTATTTTTTGACTGCGGTATTTTTTTTCCCAGACTGAGATCTATTATGGTAAGAATATATAAGTTATTAGTAAGAAAGATATTACATAGGTTACATAGGTACACCAAAGGAAAGCCTTTACTTTTCTTCTTTATTAAATATGGGATAAGTAGTAGTATTTTTGTATGTTGCGTTCAAATATAAACACACATATACATATAAACACGTGTACTTGTGGCAGACCATGTGTGCCCCTTTAAAAGGATATTAGCTGTCTCTGGGCTAATGCGCACAATTGTTTCTAAACATAATTTACAAAACATGTTAAAAAATAAACTGTCTGAAAACACTATTCTCGCTTATCAAAAACTAAGCCACAAACTTGCTGGAACAAAACTTAATCCACGGTGATAAAATCCAGCATTGTCACATAACTATTTAACCGATTTCAAAAATGAGAAGGTTTTATGTTCCACTGTAGGTTCCACGGTGACCGCGTTCGGCCCGCGATTGGGCCGCACTGTGTCGATCGCGGTCACCGGATCGATCTAGTAGATGTGAAATAAACTCTTCACCATTCGCAACGCTGTACGTGGTTACCGTCGAAGGCGAGTCAATGTGAAATAACTCACCCTAGGCCCCTGATCTTACAAAATAATATCGGTTATTTTCTGAGACCAGGAGACACTTACCTTTACTTTACTTACCTTACCCTTAAGAAACTTTCATACCTAGTGAACAAACTGAATCGAAATTCTTGTCCCAACTTGATATAAAAATAAATATATAATTATTACCTCTATCGCCTACGATTTCTTAATATTTCTCTGATCTTTATTGTAAAAAAATATTATGATAAATTCTGTTAACTTCCATAAACATATTAACAACAAGACTGACTCGTCTTACTTTATCACCTCTTTTAATCTATCATGATGCATTTTTTGTGTATTAAAACAACCGTAGTGTTACTTCACTGAGTCTTTATTTCTTTAGGCACCAACCTACCGTGGCAAGCTCGCAGAGATGACGAAAAGCATGATTACGAACGTAGTTGACGCTTACTCAAAACTTGAAGATTATTTATCCGAGAATAAATACATGGCGGATGATGTAGTAACCATTGCAGATTTAAGCATAATATCGACTTTAGGTTCCCTTGAAGGATTAATACCTATTGATGGAAAAAGGTTCGTAACTTACCAACGAATAAAAACATGATCAATTTGTAACACGCTGTCTTGCGCTTTAATGAACCAGCTTATAAGGTTAATGCATGAAAGCTACCTCTGCATGAGGAATCATTTCTCAAACAACTATTTTGGACTGCATCAGTTTTGACAAACACTCTTTGATGGCCACCACGAGGTCACGCCTCCGCCGAGGTCACGGTCTGCCAATGTGAGAAGAGCCATGTCCACGGTCCGGCCACCGCAGTGGTGACACTCAGGCTTTGGCTCCTTGCGGATCAAGCACAAGTTCCGAAACAACCTTTCGCGGTGATCACCTGCGTCATCCGGTATGAGGGTTCCGTGACGCCAATCCTCCATAACGGATCTTACCGCCGCAATAACGTGCCCGGGCTTCGATTGCCCTGATTCCGTAAATATCCAAATCACTTTACTTCGATAGTCTTTTAGTCACCTTAGTAATGAGCCCAAATTTAATTTCAGGTTTCCAAAATTAAAACATTGGTATCATAACATGAACAAGATCGATTGCTGCCAGAAGATCAACATTCCGGGAGGCAAGCTCCATGCCGATGGCTTGAAGGAATTAATGAATAACACGAAACATAATCAACAATCTAAGTTATGAAAACTTGAGTGTTTTAGTTCTTTAGTATTCCATAAATAACATTCAAAACATTTAAAAAGAAGAACAGACTCAGGACTCAAAAATTGCATCATAAAGATTCGCGAGTGCGTTCTTCAATTATTGATTCTTTGAAACTATTTTAGGGAGAATACTGTGTAGTTATTACACATGTAATATATTTTTTTAACATTGACCTATAGTTTCATAATAAGATATGAATAAGACTTTATTAGAGCAGGAACGTATTTGCAAAATAAAGTACGGGTGTACTCGCCATAACTCGATGATCTTGTGCTAAACACAAGATCATATAACCGTAATATAACTCCAGTAGAAATAATTGCCTTCGCTTACAATTACGTGGACTATAGGTACATTCTTTTTTAAAACACTGATAGTGTGGTTGTGGTGTATGGATTTGGTATAAGAAATATAAAAGAATCTTTTAAGAATCACAGGTTTTTTATTTCAATAACTAAAAAGAAATGCAAAGAATTTTTCAACTTTACACTCCAGTAACGTCTAGGGGCTACCATATGGATAACTTTTTTTGAGAAAATTAATGATTACAAAAACGTTACACAGTTAAACATTTCCTATAAGTCTTGTATAGTCTCTCGCGAACGCCCGCACTTCATCAGAACATTAGTAGCACTTAACGATTAAAGTACATATAATATACACGATATCAACCACGAATGTCCTCTCAGTCATACTTAACACATACATAATTGCGTCGCGTAAACAAACAAACATTGTATGGAATCATAATGTATAGTTATCACGCAAACTCAAAGTCACTTGTCAAATTTTGGAGTAGATGTTTGGGCGTTACTGTCAATGTTGCACGTTTAGTCTTAAATGTAACTGCAGGTGATTCAGCCTGCATTAGCCATCCTCTTTTGGGGGTGTGAACCATCCTGAAAATGATAAATTATACATTTGATTATTGAACCTCATTTAACAGGTTTGATAATTATGATCTCGAAATCCGTGCAACCTTTAGTTTGCAAATATATTTCGTAATTTACCCGAGGCTGTCAGATTAACATAGGAGGAATACTTTACACCCAGTTGAGTACCTCTACCATACATGATGACTCTAATGTGGCAATTATTATAATTAATGCAGTGGGAGGGTCACAAAGTTTCAAAAAAATCAATGCAAGAAATCTTCTGTCTACATAATGTCTACATAATTTTTCGTGCCTGCGTAAAAATATTTCCAACCGTCAGATTTAAAATGCCCTGCAAAATTATTGCTAAACATTAAGCTGAACCGTCTGCATAAAAGCTAACACGCTCGTGTATTTCGAAATGGCGATTTTTCGAATTTGCAGTTTGCATTTTAGATAATTCGCTACGAGCTTGTGTCACTTTAAAATCGTCAGATCTTTTAATGGGAGCAATTTCCAAATCAAATAACTTATTACCAAAATATCTTATTGTAATATTTTTTTTCGATTTCCTCACCTTAAACAAAGTGGAAACATCACATAAATTTTGTTCATTCTAATACCTAATCTTTCAAATGCAATAGGTCCCCATGACGCTCGAGTAAATCCACATTTAGCATTACGGGCTCCTCTACTAATATGTCACTACAAAAGGTATGCTCATCAACGGTGAGGGTAAAAGTATCTCAACTAAAACGGCTTTGGCTTCTAGTTGAATATAGTAACATTTATCATACAGTAAATCCATATGCAAAAGAGGGAATCCCTGAAACGGTAAGCATTTATTAACTACCGGCATTTTGCCGTACATAATAATAATATAATAAAATTCGGTCCTACTCGCATTACAAGAAGTGTTGTGCAAACCTATTATTGCCATCAATTGGGCACTTTGGAAACATTAAAAGTGAAGGTCAGTAGAATTGTACCTCAAACAGACGGAGCTGGGAATATTAGTATTAGCTCAAGTTTCCTTTTCTTTAAATGGGTTTAGTCTCCCTACCACTATAACTCCTGTACACCAAGATCAACAGCAGTGACCCACGAACACCAAGTTATGAAGAACACTCGGGAAGTAGGGGAAAAATTAAAGTTCCTTGGAACCCGCAACGAAATTATTTAGAACATTGGAGGAGTTTAAAATATAATAAATCCATTTCCCACCTTAGTAAAGTGGGAGACAAAAAAAAAGGTCAAGAATATAAAGATGTCTTATGCAGTATTAGCAAATATTATTATGAGCAATGAGTTTTTTTTATGGAACGAAGCAGACGAGTTACCTAATGGTAAAGGACTAGCTTCGCCCGAGGACATGCAACTCAAGACAAAAAAGCGTTGCCGCCCTTTTGAGTTCCAACCTTTCCGAATTGAGTGGCTCCGATAACCTTACACTCGGTAAAAAGCAAAGAAACAATAGTTTAACATCAGTTATCTGCGAGGCCATGGTATCACTTTGGTGGAACCGACCCATCCGTGCTGATGCATGGCTCTCTTGGTAAAAGTGGGAGTTATACAATTATAGACACATACATAAACGGGAATTAACAGGATTACGTACAATAACCTACAAGGACTTGTTGCCCAGTTTCATATAGTTATCCGTGTGGTGACGGATTAAGAATACAGAGTGTCACTACTCCTATCCATCCCGTGGGTGTCGTAAGAGCCGACTAAGAGAGTAAACAATGCAGGATAACAGCACTGAGAAGAGAAGGAAAACTTGAAACAAACCCTATACAAACCCGTCTGACCGGCGAGGTATAGTAGGTCAATACCTCCTTTCTAAGGAGAGGCCGATGTCCAACAGTGCACTAGTAAAGCCTCTTGCTGATGATGTATAGTAAATAAATAAACGTAGATGTTTGGTCTCACCATTCTTCTCGTGTATCTGCACGAGGCACTTGAAGCTCTGCTGCGCGCGCGCGAGGCTGTACTGCGACTGCGACACGACCTTGGTGGCGCCGAACTGGATCCGCGCCTTGCCCTTCACCAGCGTCGCCGCGATCTGCATGATCACGGCCTCTACTGTGTACGCCGACGACCAACCTTGCTTCGTCAGCAGCTCCATGCATATCGCACCGCCCACCAACACGTATCCTCCTGGAATTAGTATACTATACGCTAGGCGAGTGCCTGTATTTTGGTGGCGCCTGTGTTATATATCTAAATTAAAGAAGGTTTTACGCTGTTCGTATTCATTTTACAAACACAACTAGCAACATAAAAAACCGAAGGTGTTACTACTACTTTATGCAGTATGTGGCAAATAATAAAACTCTACTTTTTTTAAATGACTTGAAACAGTTCTTATTTTAGCCTTGGTGGCAATTTGTTTGTTTGCAAAAAATTTTGACTCATGTTACGAGATATTTCAAGCCATTTCAGCAAGTAGGTATATGTTACCTCAAATGTTTATCTGTCTTAAATAACGTCGTTTAAAGATGGTACTAGTATGTACTGCTGTACAGTAATTTTTCTCTCACCTGATATAATAGGGTAAACAACACGAACGAAGGGCGGTTCGAAGGGATAAGTCTCTTTGAACATGATATTGAGCAGTATTGAGTCCTTGCCCTCTTTCTCCTTTAACAATAGTAGATCATTTTGCAGCGGACTGTCTGGATCCACTGATCGTAGTCTTATGTTCCACTCGTAGAGGGAATCATTTACTAACTCTGTAATTGAGAAATGAACATATTTGTTAAAATAATCGAATTACTAGTTTATAGTATTTATAATACTGTAATTAGAAATAGAAATGTGGTTGTCTCAGTCATGAATTTTTTTGTAATAAACATGAGTTACGCTCAATGACCAAGATTATCATTTAAATTTAAGTGTAAGTTACACATTAACCAGAAGCGTTTGTCTAGAGCAATTTGTAAATTTTATTTAAAAATGTAAAAAAGTAGTTCAAATATAAAATTTAACTGTCATTCAGTAAATTTACCATCCACTCATTTAGTTAAATGGTGTAAGGCACCTTTGGTACTTACCAATAGAATACATATTATTCTTAAAGGAGTGAGAGCGGTATATGTCTCGGAGCTCCTTCATAAGTCTATCAGTGGCTTGCAGACTGCCCGACACACTGCCTGACAGGTAATCCTGCCGCTGGTTTTGTCTAAGCCGCTCCAATGTAGCTAAGTGTTCTGTTTCCATGTCGTCCTAGAATTACAAAAGTATCTTTAAGAAGATAACAGTTGTAATCAATGAGCATATGGATAGTCAGGTAGTATACAAAACATAATACGTACTTAGTGCAAAGTGACTGCTATTGTTTTGTTTATAAAAAAAAGATCCGTGAACACCATTTAAGCAGGCGTACCTTATTGCTGCGTCCAGCATCATCGACCATTTCTAGTGGCAAGTCATCCTCCCCCTCAGATTCATCTTCCTCTCCAGGCATTTCTTCATCTTCTTCAGTACCAGACTCTGCTCCATTTGACGTTACACTTGGTACTCTAGAAATAAACATCTTCATCAAAGCTGACATATTAGCAATTAGCTCTTACGAGTCAAAAATATATAGTAAAGAAAAAAAAAGGCAAAAATAGATAGTAAAGAACTATCTATTTTTGACTTTTTTCAGACTATTTTTCTCGTGTTTTTATAAGTTGTAATGTCTTGTCATACGTTAGAACAGTATAAAGCAGTTATGTTCTTATCTACTGTAAATTATTTCGACCAATAAAACCGTATAAGGTATCTCTTTTACTCATTAAAGTAATAATTGTTAGTTCCATTAGCTATCTCGATAGTAGCTCCGCTATTTGGTTTACATTTTTTTTAGAATGTTCTAGATATATTTCTGGTTGCAGCTAACGCCAGGACTTTACATTAAAATTTTGTAGACTTTTATAGTGTAGCTATTCTGTGTGGTGACGGATTAAGAATACAGAGTGTCACCACAAACCTAAGGGAGCAAACTACGCAGGACAGCAGCACTACAAAGAGAAGAAAAACTTGAAACAAATCCTATACCAACTCGTCTAGCCAGCGTAATATAGTAGGCCAATACCTCCTTTCTAAGGAGATGCCTATGCCCAGCAGTGGACTGTTAGAGGCTATTGATGTTGAGACTGTTACAGCATAGGTTTTTTCTTTTTCGATTTGGTATGCGACTTATGTGTCTTACGCTTGCATGTTTCTTACAAACATGACCACTTCAGGCAATTCTTTTGAACAACTGCACCACGCTTTTTAGTCCAGTATTATGACGTGAATATAATATATTACATATATGTTGACGTCTCATGGTATGTGGTAATAATATATATATCTCACACATCTCACACACTAGGCAGAGCCTGTACCATGGTAACCAGACCGCTGATAAACATACTTATATATTTTTAAATACATACATATTATAGATAAATTACACCCAGACACAGAACAAATGACCGTGCTCATCACACAATATTTGTCCTGGGTGGGAATCGAACCCACGACCTCTGGCTTAGCAGTCAGGGTCACTAACCACTAGACCAACAGGCCCATGGTAAGTTTATGCTAAGCAGTCAAAGCACCTTTAAATCTTCCAGATTGTTGATGAAGTATGTACGGTTATATGAGATTTATTTACTATTGACGTCATGAATTTTTGTACAACTATTAAGCAAACTCAAAGCACAAATATTAACAGTTCGCCAACTGTTAATACTACATAAGTATAACAATCATTATTGTTTTTTGTTTCACTCTTCTCGTTGCTTGTGATTTACCTACTGACCTTGATAACAGAGTTTGAGTATGAGAGAATACAATTATATTTTTGGGCGTAGATACTCAAACTCTGGACGATTAATTAATGCGTCACTCTGATAATACACGCATTTTAAACAAACTATTAATGGTCTTGAATCAAGAATCAATTTAATAAATTAACTTAATACATTAATAATTTCTGTATGTAAAAATTATATATCTTTAAAACAATATTACATATTGAGATATATTTTAACTTAGAAACTCGGGTGTTTGTTTTACTAATGAATACAAATATTTGCCACGAGCTGGAATCAAATGGAGTTTATAATAGTTTATTGTTAAACATAGATAGTAATCTATACTAATATTATAAAGCTGAAGAGTTTGTTTGTTTGTTTGTTTGTTTGTTTGTTTGAACGCGCTAATCTCAGGAACTACCTGTCCGATTTAAAAAATTCTTTCAGTGTTAGATAGCCCATTTATCGAGGAAGGCTATAGGCTATATAACATCACGCTAAGACCAATAGGAGCGGAGCATCAATGAAGAATGTTTAAAAAACGGAGAAAATTTATTACTATTGAGAGACGCAGACGAAGTTGCGCGGGTCAGCTAGTAATCGTATAAAATATTGACAAACTGACATAGGTAGTACATTGTTTTATTTTTCTCTTTGTGTTTAATTATAAATAGTAACCCCATAGTAAGTCGCAGACGTCGATCTTGCAAGGCTGGACTTAATTTTTATAGTATTTGAATATACTCAAAATAGACATAACTAGGGCCCGGATTAAAATGTAGTAAAAAATACAAAATATATACATATAATATCAAAACTATGGCAAAATTATGGAGTATAAAATAACAATACCTTTTATTTTAAACTTTGTTTATTGTGAATAATCATTTACTATGGTAACAGTTCTATTAAAAAAAAAAGCTTAAAAAAGATGTAATTCAACAATAATATATAGTTTTATTCAACGTCCATTACATTACTTTTTTATATTGATTGCAGTACACAATAACATGTTTCTTGAAATTTTCAAACTTAAAATTCTGACGATTCGGTCTAGATATAGCCTTATATTGGCTGAATGATCTCTACACGTCACATGATGTGACTGGAGCATACTTAAACCTGCATAATTCTGGAAGTGTGAAAGCCACGTCTACAGTGTCCTCAAAACTACCGCACAGCATTTTTTTTTCCAAACATACTTTTACGGTGAAACATACGGTTGTGGCGGGAACGCACTACATATTATACATATTTTTATAAAGTAACTCTTATTCTATCATATATAAATTGAAAATATGGATGATTGTGATAGTTTCTTGTAAAATGTGAATTTTAAATTGAAATGTGGAAAAATAATGAAAATAAAATTTAGTTTTTCTCGATCCAATACGACAATTGTTGCAGAGAATAAATTCGAAATAATTATGTTATAACGAATAAAATAATAGTAATCTCAATTAGAAGAAACAGGACATAATGCAGGGAGTCAGGTACATGCAAGTTTTTCTAAAAAAAACATGAATTGAATTACATACCTCTGTTGTGGTGCTGGATGCACTGGCAGTGACAAAGAATCCAAGTCTGGAGGCTCTGGAACACCGTGTAACTTGCATAGTTCTCTCAACAATATACCGACCTGGAACCAATAAGATAAATGCTCTCATTATTATTGTATCCGTTATTAAGTTACGCTAATACGTAATTACACTCAATTAATCTTTCAATATTACATAAGGAATGAATATTTATTAACATTCGGAAATGTGTTTTAAACAATTATTCTGAATAGTTAACTGTGGTGGCTACTTAGAGTATCAGAATATTACATAGCTTCCTTATGACCAATGATTTTTGCAGAGTAACATATAATTTCTTAAGAAAAAAAGTTGTACTCAAGAGAAAGTAGTTTTATCCGTTAAGACTTTTAAGAAAAATACTTAGGAATTGTATGTAGTACAACAAATATGACTATTCTGATGATGAACATTACGTAGTACAATGTATCAATTAGGGTGTAAAATAGTTTTGATTTATTTGTATAAGTAAATAAACACATCGCCTAAGAAATTTTCAACTAATTGTTCTTAAATATTACAGAAGTACAGGATAATTTAATATTCATGGGCACACTGCTTCTTGCAGAATGTCTTCGAGTTTTTCCAAGTATAATTCATGCCAAGTAATCGAAAAACTTTCAATTTAATACAACTTCAATTAAGAGAAATTTACTATACTTAACACGAATGTTACATCAACACTTTTATGGGTCCTTCTAGAGGTTACAAGAAATTGCATCAAACGACGAGTTATGTTACTGTAAAAGCCCGAACTAGGGTAAATCCTAAGATTTAAAGGAAAAACTGGATTTTTGAAAAATCCGAATTTTGAGCATTTACCACCATTCTCTTGGTAAATCTTAGGATTTACTTCAAATACAAGGTAAATGTTGATGAACAGACGTGTTTCACAATAATATAATACTGCTTTCATTGCGTTCGCAAATATTCAATAATTAATTAAATCATCATCCACAGCCTTTACAAGTCCACTGCTGGCTTTTCCTTAGAAAGGAGGATTTGGCCTACTACCACGCTGGCAAGACGGGTTGGTTTAGGGTATGTTTCAAGTTTTCCTTCTCTTTGCAGTGCTGCTGTCCTGCGTAGTTTGTTCCCTTAGTTGGCATCCACGGGCACCCACGGGATGAATAGGGGTGGTGACACTCTGTATACTAATCCGTCACCACACGCATTATTTATTTTACGGAATATTTATTTATCAAATAAATACTTTTAAAGTTTTTTTAACTTTATTTTGTGTATTTTATTTGCATAATATGTAACACAACACATTTACATGTATTTTAACGTAATATACAAGTCTTTCAATGACAAGTTTAATTTGCACTATAGATAGGTATTTATTTTGGTAACAAAGTTCATAGACCCCGAGGTCACGGTCGAATGCTCTAAACGAGGATAGATAAACAAGCATTACTGTTTACTAAACAATTTACCTAAATAATATACAATTTAGATGGCCTTTTGAAACAAAGCTTTTTTTTAGAAACCAACCACTCCGATGAGGGTAGAAAGCCCGAATCCAATCGACTAAAATTGTAGAATTTAATTGATACCTATATTACCGAGAGGTTGGTAAATTTATATGAAGATGAAATTTGTGATCATCACGGTGATGATCACAAATTTCCTTGCTGATTTTCATTTGATATGTTTTTTTTTCTTACTATTCATCCTCTCATTTTTGTTACATTGTCCAACATGGTAGGTAGACGTATTAAACACCTCACGTAAAATGCCTGGTTAATGACCATGTCATAAACCAGGCAGCGTAGGAACGCTACTTTTTGCTATCATCAATTTATTTCCTCTTTGATTTTATGGTATTTTCTCATAACTTTTTTTTTTTTTTTTCTTTTTTACTTTTTTTTTTTTATTTACTTTCCTTTCGTAAACTTTGATTCCTTTTGTACAGTTTTTAAATATAAAAAAGGTTTTCTTTTTCTGCTACCTATAGTTTTAGCGTGTTATGCTAAGCTTCTGATGCATTGGTTCTTCTGTGCCGCTCATGGGCATAACACCAGCAGTCGGCTATGATCTTATGGATCGAAGGACTGATAAAATACGACCCAAATTGTTTCGCTGCTGGACATTGATGATTTTTTGTTTATTGTCAACAATCGCTCCGGTATAAATTCTTTTGGTATTAAATCCAGATAACATGTTAAATACGTTATATACATATTTTTTTTAGTTTTTTGCTAATACATCATACCAAGTTTTCCTTTTCTGATTATTGTCCTCTGAAATTAAAATAGCAACCTCTCACTTTCAATTTCGGGCAAAAATCTTTTACAGCATTAATTAATGCTTGTTCATAGTTAAATTTGAAAAAAAAACAAAGTTTTATTTATATATTTATTCTATATCTCGACTCTGGATGACTTTTCCCGAGAAAGATTGAGGCGGCCGGTATAAAGGGCATCTCCCATACTATCATCATCATATATGCTACTAGTTTGCAACATGTCATTGATGTGAAGAAGAAACACTGTGTGATAGCAAAATATGCAGGACAACAACACTGCAAAGAGAAGGACAAAACTTGACACAAACCCTACACCAACCCGTCTGGCCTGGGTTGTATAGTAGGCCGAAACCTCCTTTCTAAGAAGAGGCCTATGTCCAGCAGTGGACTATTAAGGGCTGATGATGTGTGATGTGATAACCAACATTTACGCGGGCGGAACCGCGAGCAAAATCTAGTATTATTATAAACTTAACAAAAAGGATTGGTTCTGCAGATTATTGGATACACAAACTATTAAAAAATTGGCTAGAAATGTTATGAGTCACCGCTATCATTTCCGTCCCGAAGACGCCGAGTGTTTTGATAAAAATACACCTCTGGGAATAAAATTAAATAAATAATAATATTACTCAAACGTCACCGCATATGAGATGCGGCTGGTACACAGTATGTTTAATAATCCATCCAACTCGATATAATTGTGAATATATATACAATAGGTAATTTTAACAGATTTTTACTATTGATCTATGATATTAAATTCATTGATAACATTACAGATGAAATAAAAGTCCAACCAAAACTTTAGCTTTGGCTTACTTCGACCAACCATTCTGATACAGCAAAAAGGGGTCAAAGCATTGACCGAAGCTGAAGGCTTCAAGCAGACACCAAAATTGAACGATCAATTACGATTTACGACTTCCGAATGCGCGAGAGCTGGGCGGAAGAGGCATCGCGCTGGGGTCACAGTGTGTGGCGCCGACTGGCCGGTGTTGCCGTTAAATACCCAAATCAAAATAAAACAAGTTAAAATGTACATTTTAATTTTCTGCTTTGTGGTTTTGCGTTTGTTTTTATCATATGATTGTGAAAGTTAATTTCTGATTGATAAAGAGAAGATTGAGATTGTTAAAAGCATATTAGAAACTAAACATCGCAGTTTTCCTTCACAATGGTACTTAAAAGTGGTAATGTTGTGTTTGTATCGGTTAATTATTGCAATTAACATTGGTGTTTATTTTTTTATTTTCTAGCAATAAATCAAATTATTAGGGATATTGGCATTCGGCCTAATAAATAGCCTATTGTAATCGCCTTCGGACTTATGCATAAAACGGCTCCCACTAATAGTAGCCGAATAATTGGTTTCACTGGAGGATTATACACCTAATTTTTCACATTATATGAATAACTCCTCTCAAAGTGTTTTATTCGTTTTTTTTAACGTTTTTATCTTCAAAACATAACATTTCAAGCCAAAGTTTAAATCTCATGTATATGGCATTTGATTCACTAAAATATATTTAATTGATACATTAAGTATGTAGTTAAAGGTTTCGTCATTTAAACCTTTTGCATTTAACTATGCATTAGAGTATGCAATAACTTCTAATCACAATCATTTAAAACTGATAAAAATCTTCCTATTCTAAGGGAATGTTTTACACTACTGCAAAAATTGAATTTTAGATTTCTGTACTTTGCTAAGTAAATTTTAATTCATCATGACATTAGCTCTCTACAAAGATATTTTTGTTCTCAAATTAAAGGCTGTTGACGATGATGGTTGCACTCCTTCGAAACGGTTCGACGATTTAAATGTTTTTTTGTATATTTGGTAGGTATGACAGTAGGTGTTAAGTATTTTTTACCCTCCTACCCCCACCCTATTTTAATCACGATTGTTTTGATAATTTATATTGCAGAACAAGGTTTGTCGGGTCAGCTTGTAATGTATGTAACTGACTTACTATGTCTTTGTCCTAGTAGACATTCGCGAGACCCCAGCCTTCTTGAGGTACTACGAGTACAAAATCAGTTGCGTTTCCCCATCCAAGACTTGTTACCTGGTAGTCTAGTGGTTAGTGAACCTGACTGCTAAGGTCGTGGGTTCGATTCCCAACCAGTACAAATATTTATGTGATGAGCACGATTGTTTGTTCTGTGTCTGGGTGTAATTTATCTATAATATGTACGTATTTAGAAATCTATAAGTATTTTTATCAGCAGTCTGGTTATCATTGCACAGGCTCCACCTAGTTTAGGATCTGACTGCCGTGTGTGAGATGTGTGAGGTTTATTATTATTCATTATTATCCTATTCTAGCATTACTAGCTTCGTCCTCTCACCATTTTTTTTTTTTTGCCCCAATTGACACTTCCTATGATCCGCCTGAAAATGATAACGATTATGGCCTGACGCATCTAACCCTCTTCGGGCATCTAAAGCGGGTTCGCGGCAGGCCCAAATCTTTTGCAAGGTTATAAAATTGAGAAAAGAGCAGGCAAATGATGATGATAAACTGTTAGAAAAATAGTCTTGTAACAACAAGTGCAACTATTGTTTAAAAGAATAACTATAGTTAATTAGTAATTAGTGTTTTTATATATATATATATATATATAAATTATATATATATCTTAGAGTGGGGCAAACGAGCAGACGGGTCACCTGATGGAAAGTGACCATCGCCGCCCATGAAAGTCTGCAACTCGGGAGTCACAATCACTTTGCCGGTCTTTTAGGAAGGAGTATGCTCTTCGGCTGGTATTAGTCAGAACAATTCCTCCGAGCACTCTCCACTGTCTTTTTGAATGGTACAATTAAAAAACAACAGATTGCTTGTTGAGGCATCATTTTGTTTACACAATAATTATAGTACAACATGAACAGCACTATCTAACACAGAACAAGTGTAGGTATATGTTATGTATGAACACAATATAGTACACATAAATAATGACAACTTGGGTTACCAGAGCTTTATTATAGGGTTGGTTTATTATCTTCTATTCCTAGTTCAAAATCTATGCATTTCATGTTTTAAGCAGTGCTCAAAGCAGCACAGTCCTGAGACATACCTGGTCAATGGCAATAAGTTAGCTACTATTTTGGGAATAAAAAGAAGAAACTAGACAAAAAAGGTATTTCACACAACAGCAGATACAGGAGACTTGATCAATAAAGTATTTTTAATAGGTAGGTCTCATTGTGCTAATTAATTTATTTTTATTCACATTGAAGTTATGTCTCCTACTCTTAATCTTATATCTGCATATCTCTGTTATGTATATTTAACACTTATTAATCTGAATACTTTAATTGCTTGTAAATTTTATATCTACGCATATGTTGCAAGTTTGGGTAGTTGCATTGATGAAATGAGGAACAAAAATTATATAAAAAAGTAGATAAAACCATCTTTGTAGCATATTGTACATCATGTAAAAATCTGAGCTCAGTTGCAGGCTTGCAGGACTTGCAGATGGCCAGATTTTGCAGTTTATATCAGGTTATAGGTTAAATTTAAATATGTCCACTGCCACTATGCCAGTCAATAAAATTTACATGTATAAATATAAACTCTTTACAATGTTTATGTATAATTTACAAGTTTAAAAAAATCTGTTTTCCTTACCTGGTTTATAACATGATTGTCCCTGCCTTGTGTATTACTCAGGATCTGGACTGCATTCGTCACAATGGGATCCTCACTGTCTGCAAACCATACAGGAGGTGTGTTGGGGTATGTCTCCTAAACAACAACAATAGATTTTTCAAGGCCCTTTCTCACTGAACAGTAAAATATTTTTGATTCTCTATTATAATGTTCTTCTTGTTCATGTAAACAAATGCATTAACAGAACATTTTACAATAATGTACTTATAATGCAGTATACACATCAAAGAGTGGTGTAAAAAAGCAGTCAATTTAATGTATTATACTGGTTTTGAAAAAGTATTGCTAGGTAAAAGAATACTAAACAGTCTTCTAAAAGTGGTTAGTGGTGAAAGTGGTTAGTGGTCCACCATACTGAGCCAGAGGTTGTGGGTTCAATTCCCACTCATGACAAATAATTGTGTGAAAACTACAAGTCTTCTTGATAAGGCAGCTATGTGTGAGGTATCTTAAGTTATTATTTTTATTACATAAACCTACTTAACAACAGGAATAACATGAAATAATTTTAAATATTGGTTTATTTTATTCCCATATATGAATCAAGGCTAGGAAGGTGTTGAACCAATTTCATAATATTGTGTATATTAACAGAAGCTTACCAAGTATATCATTTGAAATTACCCACAAAAATATTACCAAAAATACATAATCTGTTTCAGGCAAAACATGAAAAACATAGTTTTTCCTTTTTTCATATTTTTTTACCATTTAATTTTAAAGATTATGTCATAAAATATCATATGACATTGAAACATTCAACTAAATTGAGGATTAATTTTGATTAAAGTATATTTGTAAAACTTTGGAATAAATAATATAACATGTTTACTTTGCATGTAAATAGTAGTAAACATTGATAAATAAAACATCCAGCCTTCAATAATAATAACCTGTTATCAGTGAATGTACTAAGAATTGCTACACTGAACATTCTTAGATTGTATTGTTGCAACAGAACAACAATAAAACTCATAAATGGTACTAAGTTGTCTACATGACAAAAAGCAGGTAGTAAGGATGACTAAGAGCCTTTTGTCCCAAAAACGCGCCTATATACCGTTATCCAAACAAGACAGTCGTTACTCTCTCTTCTATAAAATAGCTGTAATGATTCACGAACACTGTGATAATGACGTGCTGGACCCGAAATGATCGATACAACGATTCGACTCAGTACCGTATGCTCAACCAACATATGACCTGCAATATTCGCTTACACGCTATTATTGATCATGTATTATGCATTATTGTTTTGTAAATAATTTACACTGTAACGTGATAAACGTGTTGTTGCAACAGGGAAATGTAAATTCACTTCCGTAAACCTTTTGTTGACAGCCCTGCCCTCATAAACAACGACCCTTTGTCCCAACCAAAGATAATCAATAAACGTACACTGTCCTAACACATTAATGTTTATATCAACTACTATCGAGCTGATTACCACTACTTACCGTAATATTAGCATGTATTTCATATTTCTTTCCATTTCTGCCAACGAATCTGCAGGTCAGTTCGTCGACACTAGCTGACATTATCTGAAACCTTTCATGGCTTTTTGGAAACACTTGTTCTAACGTTTTGATTTCTAACTTAAGTGTATTTAAGCAAGCCATTAGTGTGTTAAACACTAAGTCTAAACTAACTAATAGTTATTTACGATAAAATACATGGGAAAAATTTTACGTTCACTCCGCGACCAAGCAAAATGGCGGAACGTAATGGCGGAAATTATTATAAAAAATGTTGTTTGATGACGATAGAGGGCAGCTTTGGTTTACAGTAGTTTTAATTATCTGTGGCTTGAAAAACTAAGTTTAGAAATATACTTTTGACTAGAATAATAAAGTGGACTTTTATGTGGTTTAGTGGTTGGGGTGCACTACATACTATAGATCTTTTACATCAAAACATCTTCAACTCAGGAATCACAAGCGCGTTACTGGCCTCTAAGGAAGGAGTAAGCTCTCTTCTTGCAGGCTTGAAGGTCGTAGCGGTCCGGAAATACCTGAATATTTGTTCCTCAAGTTTATTGTTCTAGACACAAAGTTTGTTGAGAAGCGCTCAGTGGTGGAATGTTAATTATCTATAGCAAATATACTAAAGCGAGAAACTGATTGAAATGTCTCACTTTGCTGGAAATCTCTTCCTCTGGTTTTATGCTACCAAATGATAGTTTTTGTTTGTCATTTAACTCTTAATGTTACATTAGTTTATTGTAGCTGAAGTACATAAAGGGCAGAGGATGTCTTTCATGAAAAATAAGGCTATTGTTGCCGGGAGCTTAGGTACTCTAGGTCTCATTTTAACGATACATGGTTTATTTGTAGTTATATGATTTTTTCGTGTTATCTCAGTCGCACAACTCACTTTTTAACTTCCAAAAATCAGTGGTGTCATGGTGTCAATTATGGGTTTTATTAGTTAAATTAAATAAACAGTTAACAATTTAAACTTCTATTTTGAAATTACTAGTTCTTGCAGTTTTTGATGACGTTTCTATGTAGTAGATGTAAAGAATTATTGTAACAGTAATTTATATTTTGGAACTGACCACCAGAGCGAGATTTTAGTTCATTTTAATGTAAATAAAAAGATTAACTTTAAATTCAGTAGTTCCTTGGCATTCGTACATTATACCTCATTTTCATAATCCGTAAAGTCACTTTAGGTTATATTTCAGTATTTTTGTGTACAATAAATAAAAATATTTTCTGTGTTCTTCAATAATTGAGTCAGAGTGCTGTTTATTGCTTCAATTTTATACTTAGATAAGACTGCTACTTTCCAATCAATCTACTGTGGTTACAAAATAAAATTTTCAAGTGTGGACACCCTTCTTTCTGTCAACTACAACTGTCAAGTCCGCCCTCTCTTGTTTTGATAAACATTTTAAAGTAGACGATAAGATTTCTTCTGATGTTAATGTTATTGCCTATCTTAATAATAAAATGCATCGCTCTGCCTCTGGATCTACACATTACAAACGTAAACGATTGCGCTCACGTTCTCGTGACAGGGATAGGCACAAAGTAATAAGGACGAGTCCCCCTCCAGCAATAAGTTCAAAACACGAAGATTTTTCTTTTACGAACTACAAACGAGAACTGAATAAAATAATACTTTATAGCAGTGATACTAACACTGTTGTTAACAGTCTAGAAGATTTTTGGGTGTTTTTAAAAAAGTATGAAGCCACATTAGTAAAAGCTGGCAAACCGATAGTTGAATTCGATTCTCAAGATAATGATGAAAATGTTCAGAGATTCTCTAAATTCGATTGTGTCAACTTCACGACTGTTTTTAAATATGTTGATGTAGTATCTGATAGTAGAGACCGAAGAAAGTTGGATAAGAGATTATTTGAAACTTTCCTGAATATTGTCTCAATTTATATTGATTTTAAAAATAAAGAGAAGTTTGAAAGACTTAAAAAATTGAGACAAGCTCAGAAAGACTTACCTGTTGCTAAGTATAGGTATATCCCTTTCATTATAAATTGATTACCCTTCAAATGCTACTCTTATATAATATTATGTTTAATTCTCTGTAAAGATGTTTTTGCTGCTTTAATGTTATCTGGTCATAAAAATATTCCCCCCAAAAAAATAAAAGGACGGGAACAATTAATGGTTTTGGTTGGTTAATTAAGCATAGCGCAGGTTCTAGAATCTGGTAACCTCACTCATCATCATCATCAGCCCTTAATAATCCACTGCTGGACATAGGCCTCTCCTTAGAAATTAGGTTTTGGCCTACTATACCACCTGGCCAGACCGTTTGGTATAGAGTATGTGTCAAGTTTTCCTTCCCTTTGGATTGCTGTTGCCCTGGGTCTTTGGTCGCTTAGTCATCTCTTACAACATCCATGGGATGAATGGGGGTGGTGATACTCTGTATTCTTTATTCGTCAACACAAGGACAACCTTACCCACTAGGTTATAAACATTGAAAGAATTGCTTAGCAGCAGTTTTCTGTAAGGCAGTGGCATCACTCCAGTCAAGCCAACTCATTTGTACTGAGGCATGGCCCTCCCATGGCTGAATATTGTTCATGTTACTGTTGTCAGTTTTATAATTATTAATGTATTGAACATGTTAATTGTACAGTACTTGACGGGCCTGTTGGTCTAGTGGTTAGTGACCCTGACTGCTAAGCAGGAGGTTGTGGGTTTGATTCCCATATACAACAAATATTTTTGTAATGAGCACAACTGTTCTGTGTCTGGGTGTAATTTATCTATCATCATCAGCCTATTGCTGTCTACTGCTTTACATAGGCCTCTTCTATTGCACGCCACTTCAATCTAATTTATCTATAATAGTCTGGTTACCATAGCACAGCCTCTACCTAGTGTGGGATTAGACGGCCATGTTTTAGATGTGTGAAGTTATTATTATTCTATTAGGAATGAAATTGTATCTGCTGTTCAAAATGAAAGAGTAGTAATTGTAGCTGGCGATACCGGATGTGGAAAATCTACACAAGTTCCACAGTATTTACATGAAGCAGGATTTCAAAACATAGGTAGGTTTTTTTTATACTTTGCAGTTTTATCGTAAATTTTTTATATGTATATCTTGTAGTAATTTGGATAACTAATAAAATTAGGTAATGTCATGTCTTTCCCTCTAGAATCTCTCTTTAGAATCCAACTAATTTCCATTTTTCTTCTGTTAAAAATTAACTTTATTATAGAGTAGTTTCCTATTGTTGAAGTAAATTATTTAAAAGTCTTTATAAAATTTAGTGTTACATCAGGTCATGAGAATGTAAACTTGTTCTTATTGTTTTTTTAGTGAATGATTTTTTTTAAATATTGTAAACCAAACATTACTAAATTAAATTTTTTGTAATAAGCTGTGATGATTGTCATGATTAGGTCTTAAATCATTATTTTATAGTTTTTACGGATATAGTTTTTATTGATTGGACTTTGATTGATTGGAAAATAAAATACAGTATTATGTTAAGCCTTTTAATCCAGTTTGAAAATCTTGTTTATTCTTATATTTGCAGCATGTACACAACCCAGAAGAATAGCCTGTGTCTCCCTGTCTAAAAGAGTAGCATATGAGATGCTGACACAATTCGAAAGCAAAGTGGGCTATCAGATTAGATTTGAGAAGAGCAAGACTGCTGATACTAAGATATGCTTCATTACTGAAGGATTGCTGCTAAGACAGGTCTGGTATAGTATATTTAAGTTGAAAAAAAAACTTTTATTTTATAATTGACAACTATTATTTGTGTAAGAACTGTAGTAGGTTCTGAAATATCAACTACTTCATCGCAACTTCAACGCCTTTGCCATTACACCTATGGCTGTGATGATTGTGAATTGTTATTTTTACAAAATATCAAGGTCAGCTATGTCCTGCCATTTAGGCATACAATATTATAAGTAATAGTAATTGGGGATAGATAATTAAAAAATGAATACGAGTCGTAATAAAAAAAATAAAAAATGAAACAAGAAATGTCAAGTGTGTCATTTATATATCAAAATTTAGACTTATCCTCTAAAAATCCTGAACTGAGTCATAACATTTTTCAATTAACAAGTGGCGTAATTTTCTTTCTACCGAACGTGATCTATTTCTATCATGTTTCTTATTGTTGATGGAATTTTATTAAATATGCATGGACCCAAGCAAAAGACACTTTTGCTTAGGTCCTCGCATATTTAATAAATATTGACTTGATTTTTGTTTTGCTAATAATCAAGCGAGGTAACCATTTCTTTTAATTAAATAAAAAAAGATGGATAATGGGTTAGCGTTGCATTAAAAATACAACCGTTTCATACGTAAATCTGGTCAATGTGAACTTGACTTTATAATTAAATTAAATTTAAAAAATTATAAAGTCAAGGCCTACGGGGCGTGGTTTGATCAGGGACAGCAATGAGTCACTGTTTTTTTTAACTCGAATGAACCATAGCAATATTAAACTTTCAGATGTCATCTGAAAATTTACCAAATTATGATGTGATAATTTTGGATGAGATTCATGAGAGGCACCTGATGGGTGACTTTTTATTAGGCGTGTTGAAATGCCTGATACACAGTCGTAGTGATATTAAACTAGTGCTCATGTCTGCTACTATTAACATTAAATTGTTTGAGGATTATTTCTCAGCTGAATCGGCAGCTGTCATACAGGTAAGTGGGAAAGATGTTTTTTTTTAAACCAGACAACAGTTTTAAAGTTCAAATTGTCTTTACTTCACAAAATTCTTTTAAAATTGCTCTTACTGAACTTCGATGATCAACGTAGTAAGTCGCTCTGACGAAATTATAATAAAATTGTACACTTTAAAAGAGATCGTGTTGGATACCCTATAAGAGCCTGATGATCTTTAGGCCTTGCCATTTGCGCGCATTAAGAACTATTGCAGATGTCAGTCCAAGTTGCCGTTAAATTATGGGCTTCATTTTTTGATACTTACTTAAAATTCATATATAGGTCATTTGATGTTCCTTTATACCCACAGTCTACACAGTAAGAGTAATTTTAGCTTTCTTAGCTAACATTGAATTATATGACTGCCTTGGTGGTACGTGTGCGACTGCTGTGCTGAGGTCTCGGGTTCGATTCCCCAAATGTTTGTGTGATCTGCAAATATTTGTTTCGAAGTGTTGGTGTTTTCTACGTATAATATCTATGTATTTACAAAAAAAAGTATACAAGTATTTTATCAGTCAATCTAGCTTTCATGGTACAAACTCTGCTTAGTTTGAAACTAGATGGCGTCGTGTGTTAGATGTCCGAAAATATTGTTATTATATGACAGGTCATGTCACATTCTTCTAATCTTTGCAGGTACCAGGCCGTTTGTTCCCCATTGAACTAATTTACAAACCTATATACATAGAGGACAAACCTACAAGAGACGACAGACTGGATCCACAGCCTTACATTCAGATAATGCAGTTGATAGATAATAAATATCCAAGTATGTGTCTATATAGTTTTTTTCACTTGTCTGTGTAACACTACTTAAATGGTGTTTTGCGATAAAAAAAAATGCGTTAAAAAGTTTACACATCAATATTTATTATGAATAGTCTTCTTCTCTTAGCGTGTCGATGACAATTCAAATTGAGTCGGCCCAAAATTTGGCGACGAGTTCGGCACTTTCAGTAGCCTCCATCAGTTCCTGTGATGTACAAGTAACAGGACAGGCTGGACACGATATCAAGTGCCCCATAGTTTGTGGGGCAAGACCACATTTACACTCCAGGGCAGAGTCATCTATGAATCCCCACCTGAACAGGTTTTCTTTGCTTCGGCCTACCTGTGTCCGGAGTCTGTTTAGAGACTTCCAGGTCAGCCATGGCAACTCGTGTCCAGGCGGAAGACTTTCGGCAAGTGGCACAAATGGGTTGGGTAAGGAAACGCTATCTTGCCACAACTTAAGTCTTTCCTTAGAGCGTTCACCAGTGAGCGGGGGTACACACTTTAAAAAGCTGTTGCGGCTTTTCAGCCTTTGCGGTACTATGATGTTATTGTGTAGAGGGTGTCTAGCGTCGGAGACCATTTTGGCTCTTTCACTAGAGCTCGCCACCGCTCTGCGAACTACTGGTGGCGCTATGCCTGCCAGTGGATACAACGTCTGTATCGGGGTCGGCTTAAGGCAGCCAGTGATTATTCGGCACGTTTCATTCAGTGCTGTATCCACTAACTTTGCATGGGCTGAACGACCCCACACGGGGCACGCGAATTAACCCGCAGAGAAGGATAGCGCCAACCCAGTAGTTCGCATGACGTCAGGCGAAGCACCCCACTTTGAAGAGACTAGTCGCCGCAAAAGACTATTGCGAGAGTGTACCTTCTGCTTAATGTTATTGCAGTTCTTGCCGAATGTTAGAGACCTGTCCAGAGTAACACCCAGATATTTTGGAAAGTTGCTGTGCTCTATGGATACCCCACCCCAAACGATGTTAAGTTTGCGGCTCGCCTCTCTGTTGCGAAGATGGAATATGCACGACTGCGTTTTGCTCGGATTGGGCTTGAGTGAGTTAGCGTGGTAGTAAGTGGCTAAGTCACCAAGAGCGTTTGACAAAGACACCTCAACCTCTACAAAGGTGGTGGCTTGGGAGGTAAGGGCAAGGTCGTCTGCATAGAGGAAGCGGGAGGTATGCGGGCTGGATGGTTGGTCATTGGTATAGATATTAAATAAAAGCGGTGCCAAGACACTACCTTGAGGTAGGCCGTTTTTCTGTGCTCTCCAACGACTTTTTTCCGAGAGAAGGTGGACTTGAAATCGCCGGTTGTGGAGAAGTTCTCGGAGTATGCGGATGAAATTTTGATCGTTGACCAAGGTTTCCACCTTCCACAACAGCCTCTTGAGGTTGACTGTATCGTAGGCAGCTGATAGGTCCACGAATACAGCACCAGTGACCATTCCTCTCTCGAAGCCATCTTCAATGTGTTGTACCACTTTAAGAGTCTGGTTACTGCAAGACTTCACGGGTCTGAAACCAGCTTGCTCGGGAATCAGTTTTGGATCAATGACGCCCGTAAGACGGCTCAGCAGCAGTCTCTCGAATAGTTTATATGTGTGACTAGTTATTATTCCTATGAATAGTTATTATTCCTAACTATTTCGTTGTAAATAAACGCCTTAAACTCATATTTTGTTATAATTTTATGTATGAATACTTCTTTAAAAATAGAAGAGCTCAAATAATATAACTGTTTTTGACAAAATAGCTTGCTAAACTTTGCGATTTATTATATCTGCACTAATAAATTAATTTAGCTTAGTTTAAAATTAACAAAATTTTTATTGACTTTGGTAAGTGTAATAGTAGAATCATACTAAAGTACCTTTTGTCCTTAAGTCTTTCATGGCGAGACATTGATCAAGCCCCGCACTCTAACCAATCCGGTTCCAAGCATTCATACGAAACGATAATTTGTTGAAACTTGGTGGGTCAGGGAGCGGGGCTTGATCGATGTGTCACTATTTTCGTAACTCGAGTGGACTATAATAGGTGCTTGCATTTACCATTAAATTGGGTACAATTGGGCAGATCCTAGGAATTATTAACGTGGAGGTGTAAAGAAAAAAAATGTATCTAAAACTATTTCAGGTGAAGAAAGAGGCGATCTTTTAATATTTTTGTCTGGAGTTCAAGAAATTACCGCAATATGTGATGCTGCACAACAGTATGCAGAGAAATCAAAGAATTGGATAGCGTTACCACTTCACAGTGGATTGTCTCTCGCTGATCAAGACAGGGTATGAGTAGCATCTTATTTATTAATCGATTCGAATTTTAACTAGCTAAGAGTAAAGCTTCAAAATTCTGTCCCCAATTTAAAGCATACATTTAAAATACCTGGAAATTCCTTCAGGGATTAAAAAAAAAGCTGATAGTCTTGAGCTGAACCGATTTCTTTTAAATTATAGCCAAGTATATCGCTCGCTCGAGTCATCTTTTATGAGTATTTAGAAGTTGCGTTAGAATAGAAGAAACACATGCATCATACATTAATTCTAAAAACATTAAATGTTTTAAATATTCTTTTAGGTATTTGATTATCCACCAGAAGGTGTTAGAAAGTGTATTGTGTCTACAAACATAGCTGAGACTTCTGTGACTATAGATGGCATTCGTTTCGTTGTTGATTCAGGAAAGGTAAGAAGTGTAATCTTTGGATGCTGATATATACGAAGATTTACTTTCTACCCCAGCCTCGAAGTAGGAGTGTTCGAAGTTCAATTATCATTCTCAATGAGCAGACATGTTATACTATATTATTAATAATAACATGACACTTTACCGTGTTTAGCCACGCTTCGGTACAAATAAGGTGACTGGCATCAAATACCCCTCGCTCTGATTGGGGTTCGGTGAGGAACTCGGAGGGCATTACTGCCTCACTGGTACAGTAGGTAGCGTATACGACTGCTGTGCTGAGGTCTCGGGTTTGATTCCGGGGCCCGAACCAAATGTCTGCATGATCTGTAAATATTTTTTTCGGAGTTTTGGTGTTTTCTATTCACACACACGGCCGTCGGAGCCAAATTAGTCAGCCTGTGGTGTAGTAACCAGAGTGAATACAAAATTGAAACATAATATATAAATTGAAAGATAATGTAGCTTTCCATTGGGAAAGAATTTTCAAAATCGGTTTCGTGGTTTAGGCGTGAAAGCGTAACAAACAAACTCACTTTCACATGCATAATATAAAGTTACTATTCTTATTGTCACCTATTAATGTGTATGTTGATTTATTTGGAAAGCTCTATTACATTAGTAATACCAATGTAATATATGTTCCAAATAAATCAAGATACAGCTTCATTACAAATATTGCAGGTCAAAGAAATGAGTTATGATTCCACAACCAAAATGCAGAGGTTAAAAGAGTTCTGGGTGTCCAAAGCTAGCGCTGATCAAAGGAAGGGTCGAGCTGGTCGTACAGGTAAACCAATATTTAATGATTTTGGAATATTTATATCCAAATCTATGTATTATTCAGGCTATTAACTTCACAACAAGACCACATTAAATATGAAGCCAATAAAAATTTCATTGCACGAGTTAAAATTTCTGATAGTGGGCTGACCACAACTATGTATAATGTGTATGTATTTACAAAAAAAAGTATATAAGTATTCTATCAGTCCATTTAGTAGCAGTTCACTAGAGCCCATCTTGATTGATTAGTTTATTTATTAAGTTTCACCTTAACTTAATTTAATGATTTTGTAGGGCCTGGTGTATGTTATCGTATTTATTCTGAACAACAATACAATGACTTGGAACCATTCAGCACTCCTGAAGTATCGAGAGTGCCTCTCGCGTCGCTACTGCTGTTGATGGTCTCGCTTGGAGTCACGGACGTGAGAAGATTCCCGTTTTTGGATGCACCTCCCGAAGAAGCAATAGAAAATGCTATTCTAGAACTCAAACAGCATGTTAGTATATTTGAGCAAAATATATAATAATATACCTCACACCTCACACATCTCACACACAGCCTTCTGATCCCAATCTAGACTGCTGATAAACATACAAATTTTTTAAAACATACATATTATAGATAAATTACACCCAGACATAGAACAAATTCTCAAATGAACGTGCTCATTGCTCAGCAGTCAGAGTCACTAACCTCTAGATCAACAGGAATAATATTGTCATGAAAATAACATATTTTTTTTACCGTGGGAAAAGTTAACAAAGTTTACAAAGAAAACCGATGTTAAGGAGGTCAGCGAAGCCAAAACCCCCTCTCCCCCAGATCCCGGGGGGGGGGTGGAACACTAGAGGTGATAACGCACTTGTGACTCTTGAGTCTCTCCATGGGCTCACTTACTATCAGGTGACCAGCCAGCTCGGTTCTCCCCCCCCCCCCCCCCTTCCCCCTATGTATGTAAAATGTTTTCTTTTTTATTGAAATTCCGGATTTCTATTTTAAATAGGATGAGATTTATATTTTATTCACATAACTCTGAGGTGACCAATACAAAAGTCGGTCATAATTTATTTTCATTTATTGTGTTTATTTTTAATATTACATAATAAAGTTTAATGATAAACAAATTATTTTAAATACAGGGAGCGCTTACATCCAATGAGAAGCTGACCTCACTCGGGAGGTCCTTAGCCAGCTTACCCTTGGAAGTGTGTTTAGCGAAAGCCCTGGTCATAGGCGCAGCCACGCTCTCCGCGCACAAGCGACACTCGGCGCTGGCGCTGGCCGCCGCACTGGGCATTCGCTCCATATACACCACCAGAGCTTTTAGAGACTTCGACTGTGAGGTTACTACGTACTTATATATTATTTCTATTAGCTATCTAATCTAGCTAGAAAATGACGAACTGCCAAGTAACTGTTCGTCCTTTTTTTACCCTCGGATTGGTCGAATTTCGAAAAACTTTTCTTAGTGGGATACAAACCAGCTCAGCATCAGCTGTCAAAATTTCAAGTTTGTAACCCCAGCAGTTTAGCTCTGGGTCGATGAAGCAATGATTCAGGCAAGTAATTTCATATTTATGGATTCTCATAGCCTATCACCGGCCGTAAATGGTTACATTTATAGATCGAAATTTACTACACACACAGGATTTTTATAATATAAATAGTATCTCAAATCGAGCTAGTATTCTTAGTAACGATTGTTAACGCCTTAGCAGCGTCTATAGTAAGAAAGAAATACAGTGCCTTTAAAGCAATTTGTATAATCAGAAATTTCTTTCTGTCGTCAAATAATGAGTAACAAAATACATATTATACTGCAGTATATATAATAAATAAAAATAAAAACAACTGAAATCACATCGGGTGCTGCTGCTGGTGAAAAATCAAGCGAGCTTGCAGTAGTTAGAGACTCGTTTCTGGTAAATAAAGTATTGCTTGGCTCTCGAACGGGTTAGAAGGTATGAAATATCATATTAGTAATCTAGTAGGTATATAAATAATCTAAACGTAATAATTCAGTACCGTTTTCTCATTGAAGTGTAAATCAATTAATGACTATCGCGATTAACACGCTTTTAACACAATATAGTATGTACGAGTATAGTCGCGAATGTATAAAATATTTTGTTTTGTTAAGTAACTATTAATGAACTTTAGTTAGTTTTCCTTGAGATTTACTATCAGTAGTTTTTTATTTTAAAACTCATTCAATTAACTGTTAGTTTATTATACTCCTTTGTATTAAAAATGTTATTTTAGAATGCCCGAAAACCAGATGAATCTGACCACGGTGACCCTTTAACGTTGCTATCCTTGTACTGCGCGTGGCTTAAAGAAAAGAAAGATGGCCGAGGCGGTAAAGTGTGGTGCAGACGAAGAGGCATCGAGGAACAACGACTGTATGAACTCACCAAACTTGCCGCACAACTCAGTAGCTTGCTCCAGGTATAAACAGTTATTTCAATAGCATTTATGATAATGATATGATTTACAATTTATTATCTTCTATCGTTCTGATAATGATTATTATTTTAAAATTGATGTTGTGGTATGTATTATTATCTACCTACGTTTTTTTTCAGTGAGTTGTTATTTTATTTTTAATAATTATGAGTACTCTGTACCTGCAATAAATAAATTATTATTATTCAATTAGTGCCACATGTTAACAATTTGCAACTGTAAGTCATGACAGGACGGAAAGTAGTGGAAAAAAACAGTCTCTGTATGAAAAGTGTCCGCCGAATTCTTCAAATTAGGGTAGCGCTACAAGCATCTTAATCCAGCGTCAAAGTTAGTAAGATACCGAAATAAACGAAAAAAAAAACGTTTTGAAACACATTTACTAGCTAATAAAATAATACGTTTTGGAAAGCAGCACTAAGACGGGTTTTGCAGGCAATAAACGTATATTAACTATAGACAATAAATTTATTTTAACTCGGCACCTTCTAACTAACTCCTAACTTTATGCCCATAATCTTTGTTTACCCTGAAGCCATTCTGGTCGGTTTTTGTACTATAGTTTGTTTTTTTTTAAAGACGACTCCCGGCCTAGGACTTTACAAACATACATGAAACGGACACAAAGAACACCCAGACTCAGAGCAACAATTTGTGTTTTTTTTTTAATTTACCTACTTCTTTTTGCTGGATACTTTTCGGTTTGACGCTTATACATATATGATACATCTACATTCTATGTTTTTTCTTACTTAAATTATCTACAATAAAGAAAGTTAAGGCCAATTGTCCAAATATTTTATAAATCTGAGTACACTTCTAATTTCCTTTTGATCGAAAGTTCAGGATTTTTTTAAACATACATTTTGGCTACAGAAAAAAAGATTTGAAATATTAAAAGCGATTTTAATTTTATACCTGCCATACTGCCTCAATAAAAACCAATTTAACCTTATATCGTTTATCAAAATCTGCACAGCCGTTAAGTAGTTACGAAGGAACTTAGTCCACACCTATGCACACATGTCAAATACATAACCTTCCTTTTAGTGCGTAACAAGGTCGCTGAACTATATGTAAGTGTATTAAATACATAATGAAATAATAAACATTTAGAAACTCGTTTACAAATCTCATGTATTTAACAGGACAATAATTTGGCGGAAACCCCAGAGCCAGTAGCGATGTCTTCATCTGAAAGAGCCCTTCGGCACGGTCAAATGAAACAGTTGAAGACTATGAGAAGGTAATCTAGATACTTAAGAACTATTATTTTATTGCCAGCAACATAAATATTTTATTCATGTTCTTTATGAGTAATTTCTTTCCTCTCGTTTTCCTGCCATATGTGGAAGTGATTTCATGAAAAGGGACGGAAATGTGTAACAGCGGTCAGAAATAATGTGATGATAGATGTGGGATGCTGTAAGGCTTATTCTTTTGACATTACTCTTACAATATATGTGAAGTAGTCATTCCATATAAGAATTGACTCTAATGGCCTATACCACGAATAGTGCAGTGGTTTAGGTTCACTTTGCCGAATTCCACCTAGCTAGTGGTTTGATTGTGTTCGGTTTCAGAATTATTGTTTGATACTTTGAGACTAGAGACTCGGTGTCAACTAAACGTAGAATTTAATAGTAATTCCACCTTTAGTTGACACCGAGTCTATAGGTATTTAGGGTTGTTGGATAATAGAACTAAACGGTTATTACTTTTACTACGTATACGTCTTTGTATTTCAGACAATATAAACAAAAAGCAGCTGAGGAGTCGAAACGCAAGAAGCGCCTCAAAGTTGATTCTTGGGAGATAGTGAACGAGTCGGCGAATGAGGATGATGATATACCAGATTTGCGAGATATTGAGTTTCGACTGAGTAACGACTCTTCACGAATACATTCGCTCATCACTGGTTCCAGTACTAGTAGTGGACGGGATCTTGTTATGCTCAAGGTAACAGTATAATGCAGATCTATTTCAAAAGACCCTGTCGTCTTTGTTTTGTGTTTGATTATACCTTATACGTAATATAATGCTGAATAGCTTGCAGGTGACATCTGGGGCGGTATACTATGGGGATCTTGTGTCAACTAGGGTGAATTTCCGTGCGTTTAGGCGATTCTGCCATACATATTATAGAAATCAAATATAGCTCACCTAGGACCCGTAATATTTTGTGGCCGTCGTGCTTCCCTGTTTGAAAGGGTGTATGCCTATTTTACTTCATTTTGTCTCCCGCTTCGGCTTTGCTAAGGAGGGAAGTGAATTTACTGTATTTCCAACTCCTCTAATTATCTTCTGATTAATTTCGTTGCGGGTTCCAAGACAAATAAATTTCTGCCTGGCACTTCCCGAGTGTCATAACTCGGTGTGTTCGTGGGTCACTGCTGTGGATGCTGGTGTACAGGACTTACAGTGGTGGGCGTGTGGGTGGGATTAGTCCCAATATACCTTATACAATTTTTTAATGTTTCAGGTGGTTCTGTGCAGAGCTCTATACCCACAAGTAGCCGTTGCTGATGAGTTCAACCATTGTAAGGTACAGTCGATATTTTCTTTATTTAGGGTAACTGATTTAGAACCATAATCATAATATGACCAGAGTTTTAAGGCTGGTGGTGTTTAATGTTTATCTTTAAAATTTCATACGATATTTACGAAGAAGAAAATAATATTTGGTTTTTAAGTAAGGCCCCGTCCGCATAACGATATTTTACCGCCCCTTTTTATTCGTAAAATTCTCTAAATTAAAATATCTCTGTGCGGACGGGCCCTAAGATATTAGAATATTATTAATTAAGAAATCTAATTTTGTAGGTATTTTAAGCTTTATATAGCACCAGCTATTACGCGTGAACTCACTTGCGTTTTGGTCACTACTTTGCTTTTAAGAATCGTACCGTAATGACTACATAGTGTAAAACTTGCCACTATAAATACATTTTCGCACATGAAATCATTATTTTGAATTTGCGTAGTAAAAGCGATTAAAGTTAACAACCTATTAAAGGTAAACAAACAAATAAAGTCTCCAATTTTGACACATTAGTAGAGATTGTTATTTTTATTTTTTGTTTTTTTCGGAATACCAACAGCATAAATAACGTAACGTAAACATTGTAATAATGCAATAATTCGCCAATAGAATCCAAGTGTGACACAGTTCAACAAGAAAAAAGCGTGGCCACGTGCGAGTCGGACTCGCCCATGAAGGGTTCGGTAGCAGCGAGTAACATAATATAAAAGTGCTTGAACCTGCCCCCCGCGCTCTCCGCACCCGCTACCGATTAAGCCACGCCTCGCGCGAATTATAATTATTATTTACTTAGGCACCTATTACAGATTTATCATTAGAAAATAATGGTTCACAGTTTATGCATAAGTTTTATGTTTATGAAATCATTTTTTAAAATATTTGAGTTAATTGAATGAAAGGTAAATTGCGGTCTACGATTGATGACGTATTAAAAAAAAACTACCAACTAGATCTCTTTCAAACCAAGTTTCGGTGGAAGTTTGCATGGTAATGTACCTCATATATTTTTTTTTAGTTTTATCATTCTCTTTTTTTAGAAGTTACAGGGGGACACACATTTTACCACGTTGGAAGTGTCTCTCGCGCAAACTATTCAGCTAAGAAAAAAATGATATGAAAAACCTCAATATCATTTTTAAAGACCTATCCATAGCTACCTCACGTCAAAAAATTTTTTTGAGTTTCAGTTCTAAGTATGGGGAGCCCCCAAAATTTATTGTTTTTTTTTTTTCAATTTTGTGTGAAAATCTTAATGCGGTTTACATAATACATCTACTTACCAAGTTTCAACAGTATAGTTCTTAAAGTTTCAGAAAAAAGTGGCTGTGACATTCCGTTTTTTGCCATTTGGCTATGGAACCCTAAAAAAGTACTTAAAAAAAAATAACAGAACCATTAGGTTCTGTTATTTTATTCTGGTTCTGGTTCTGTTTATTGTTTAGGAATAACAGATTTTTGAAAACAAAAAGAAACAAACCCAAACCAAGCAAAATGTCACGCTCCTGATAAAGAGCTTAAAACTTTTTGATTGATACAGGGCTTAAAAATGTACACTGTTTATTATATAAACAGTGTACATTTTTAAGCCCTGTAATAGATAGAATGTATTACGGGTTATAACCCGTAATACATTCTATCTATTACCGCTATTGCTTTTCAGTCCGTATCAGATCAACTGTACCACACGTGGAGTAAGCCTTTCGTGTTCCTCCACCCGACCTCGTACTTCGGCAAGAACGGCCGCTGTCTGCTGCTAACTGAAGCGGACATTCAGACAGAAATGCCACAAGGTTACAAGAGTAAACTGCCCCTGTCTGATAAACATCAATTATTGTGTTATTTGTAAGTTTTTTCCATCCTTTGAAAGAGAAACAAAAGTCAAATGTTGTTATAGATTAATAAATGTAGTCTTTTGAATTTAAGTTCTTGAGTAATATAGTAGGGAGTAATATATAGTAATAAAAAATTCAAAAATCTCATACACGGCTTGTGTATGAGATTTTTGAAGTTATTATTATTATTGTGTATATAATATAAACGGCTATATATAGTTGTAGTGGTTCAGTATATATCGTGTCGATGGCAACACTTTACACGATTTTGTCCCAGTGCTCGGCGATGCGAATGGCGTTTGGCCTTGCTTGATACAAGTCTTCAAGCGTACACGAATCTCGCCTCGCCGGGCATGTTAAGTGGCCCATTGTCGGTGCAGATGCGCCACAGTCGCATTTATTTGCGCTTGGGTCGCCCCGCTTGCGCTTGAGTTCCGTCGTGTGATAAACACATATCGTGTGATAAATACGCTCATTTGATTCCCAAGTGCCGCAACAATAATTCGAAGACAGATTAACAGTCAATGTATATTATATATGTACGATGTTTCAGGTCACTCCTGGAGACGACAAAGCCGTACATAGTGAACTCAATGCGGATGCCCGCCGCACAGACTTTGTTACTGTTAGCGCACACCATCGACACCAACATCGGATTTACCAGGTATAAATTGATTAACTCTGACCAGGTTTATGTTATAAGGGTTATATACGTCATCGCCAGACCCTTTTTTTTCTGTGCGATAATCCCCTTTTTTTTCCGTGCGGAAATCCCCTCGGATACCACCTATCGGTGGCATGTCGGACTCGAACCGACTAAAACCGCACGCCGTCTCGGGTGCTAATAGCCGGGGAACCAGGTATACCCTAGAAAGGAAGTCCCTGGTGTGTGCGATAATCCCCTCAGATAGCACCCACCGGTGGGGTGGTTAGGTTGGACTCGAACCGACTAAAAACAGCACGCCGTCTTGGGTACCAGTTGCCGGGGAACCAGGTGTACCCTAGAAAGGAAATCCCTGGCACAGAATTAATCATGTTATTATATGTTTGAACACATCATCACATTATAATATAGCCATTTCATGAAATGGTCCTATTTCGTGATATAACACTATTCATTTCATAATATAACGCTGAGAAATCACTTAAACGTCAACGTTTGATGATTCGTTCATCCACATTTAAAATTAATTTATGTTTAAATTGATTTATATTTGTACTATATCCATAGAATATATCTCCCCATAGACACCTGTAACCCAAGTCACGTCTGCGATTCCGGTCTTTGAGTGCCCTCTTCAAGAATTAAGGGATCAGGGTTTGAGGTCATGGATACCTGCTTCGGCATATGAGACTGAACTGAACCTTCATCTACTATTTGCAAGTTATTATTCCTTTTAAAACAGCATATTTGTACACTATAAGAGTGCATCCCAAAAATAAAAAATATCAGCGTCTCTAGAATGTCGATAAAAAAATTTAGAATTCGAATAGGATCAAGAACTTTTATTGAACGATACAGGAAGTAGTTCGGCTTGTCTTCGATAGATGTCGTTGAAGTATGTTTTTGTTGTATGCCCATCTACAGCAAGTATAGTTAACAATGTGTTATTATATAAGTATTAAATATTTTCAGAATTGTCTGTGACTCATGGCTGTTGCTGGAGTTCCCGTACCCCGATACTGGGCTTAATTTACTACTGAAAGCGACAAAACTGCGACAGAGATGGGATGCGCTGATTAATAGAAGACTTTTAGGTATCGATTATATTTTTGTGTAAAAGTTATTAAGTAAAGCCACAAATTGATCGACTTTTGTGGATCACACAAAGTGTCGTCCCATCGATCAGACCCACAACACTCAGCGTAGTAGGAAGCGGCGTGGCGACCGCTTAAACCACTACGCCATCCGTGCAGTGTGACTTCCTTGTATTACTTGAGGGGGATTAAAATTATAGTCGGCAAAATTCTCTCTGCTAACCCCGTCGGGATTATCAGCGTGAATGTATGATGATGAAAGTAAAATTATTTGCTGCCGTGCAGCGAAATATATGTCCGTTTCAACATGTTTTTTTTAAGGATCGCAGTGTAGACACGAATCTACTTAATTTTACAGAAATTGTTCTAGATGCCATGGAAAACAAATGTCAAGTCGATGTGATCTATACAGATTTTGCCAAGGCCTTTGATAAAATCTGTCACAATACCCTATTATTAAAGCTTTGGTGCAAATCAAATCTTGATGTGCATGGCGATCTTTTCCGTTGGATAACTTCCTATGTCAAAAACAGAAGCCAGGCAGAAGCAGTTAGTGGTTTTATATCCCAATACAAACCTTTAAGCTCGGGTGTGCCTCAAGGCTCCCATCTTGGACCTCTGCTATTCATTCTGTATATAAATAACATCTCAGATAACATAAAGAACTCAAACGTCCTGCTTTATGCCGACGACACAAAAATCTTTCGTATTATACGTAAAGGCATAGACTGTTATTTACTCCAAGACGACTTGAATAACTGAGTTTTTCTGTCAAAACAATAACTTATTTCTCAATACAAACAAACGCCATGTGATCACCTTTTCTAGAAAATCTCATCTTATCATTTTCGATTACAGACTGAACTACAGTCAATTACAAATTACAGTCTTGGGTAGAATCACTGAGGTTCGTGATTTAGGAGTTACCTTGGATAGCAAATTAACCTTCATTCCTCATATAGATAAAACCATAAACAAAGCTTATAAGAAATTGGGCTTCATCTTGAGAGTTAGTAAACCCTTTAAAAATTCGTTAACCTATAAGTTGTTGTATAACGCTTATGTGCGAAGTGGATTGGAATTTGCTTCTGTAGTGTGGCAGCCTCATTATCAAATTCACATCGATAAAATTGAAAGGATTATTACCTCTAGAATTACTTCTAGAATATTAGAAGTTAATATATAAATAATATAATTTTTTTCCACAACACCGTCTAGTTTCAAACTAAACAGAGCTTCTACTATGAAAGCTATACTGACTGATACTGATATACTTTTTTTTTGTAAATACATACCTATTATACATAGAAAATACCCAAACTCCAAGCAAATATTTTCAGATCATACAAACATTTGGTCTAGACCCGGGTATCCAACCCGAGACCACAGCACAGCAGTCTGCTGTCACGCTGCCACTGCACGACCGAGGCAGTCGGTTACCGAGGAAGTTACATGTACATACATATTTCTTAGGCTTATTTTTAAATGTGTTCACGTTATCGCATTCTTTTACAGATGCGAACCCAACAAAATCAGTAGAAACCGAACTCCAAAAGCAGAATGAGCCCAAATACTGCTACGAAGAACTCCAACACTCATTATCTTGCGACATCAGTTCATACATGACTTCTGAAGTGTACTACACTATCAAACGTCTGCTCCCCAGTGACCTTAAGGTCATGTACCAAGGGGCTGATGAAGTCCACCCTTCTGTTGACCCTAATCCTTTTGATGCCTTCTTCGAATGCCGTCCCAATGAGAAGAAAGGAGGTGTTTATGTTACAGATAATGTGGTTTACAATTGGTAAGTTATTTTTATTATATATTAGCTTTATAGCGTATTTATTAGCATATAAATAAATAATGGCAAAGAAAAACAAAAAGATATATAGATTTTTTGGGCCAGGAACCCCCATCGGCGTCCCTAGAACACCCTACTAAAGTTTCATCACAATCTAATCAATGGTTTCGGAACGCACAGTTGATAAACATACAAACATTAATTTTTAAATATTTAACATATTATGTGAGTGAAAACTGAACTCAGTCGGTGTCTGAACTCAAGCGGGGTTCACCTGTCTGAGATTTAGAGATTATACATGAAGTACCTTAATTTACTGTCCAGTAATCATCGCCTGAAAAAGTTTTTTTCTTGAATGAAAAGTACTAGGTTATAATCAGTGTTTATCTATGCAACGCTTCATGATGATCAGTTGAGTAGATAAGTCGGGATAGCCTAACGAACACACTCACAGTCCCTTACATAACAATAGTGAGATCATATTTAATTTTATGTTACAGCGTTGTTGATACCGATTGGAGCTATAACAGTTATCAAGAAACATATAACGTACCATGGACATGCCCACACTGCGACATATCAGTCTGCCTTTCCCCTTTAGAGAGACTGCAACATGAACAATTTACGTGCTCAGCAAGAGAAGTGAAGAAAGAAGTAGAAACTCCTAAAACTTCAAAAGTAAACAAACCAAATGCTGTTAATCATAAGTGTGATAAATGTAATAAAACTTTATTTCTGACTCCTGTGGAAATATTAAGACATAAGAAAAGTTGTAAGAGCGAATAAAAGTGTAATATTATGTAACTATTTTTTTATTTCACAAGACCGGACGTGATGGAGTAAGGATACGAAGTGTCCCCACCTCTATTCATCCTGTGGATGTCGTAAGAGCCAACCAAGGGAGCAAACTGCGTAGGACAACAGCACTATACTGGAAAATTTTAAAGAAAGCCTATACCAACCCGTCTGGCCAGCACGGTATAGTAGGCAATCTTCATTCTAAGGAGTGGCCTATGTACAGCAATGGACTATCAAAGGCTGTTGATGATGATGATGATGAAGACACCATTTGATACCTATCAGATTGTGACAATAGATAATAGTGGTTAAAGTATGAAATTGCCGTTATTTAGTAATAGATGCTTTGAATTGACATTGACTTTGAAAACCTTCATGGGTTGAGATTTTCGTGTGGAACTGTTTTCAAATGTTATCTATGAGGTTCTTTAAAAAAAATCAACATTCTTTTCGACTTTGAATTGTTTTTTTTTATTTAGCTTAGACGTGAAAGATGGATACTTCGAAAGTCCGAGTCATTTTTGAAAACGAGTTCCGTTCCGAAACGGCTCGCAATATCAACACTGCGTTTGGAGAGGATCGACCTTCACCATTATTGCTCCATGATAACGCAAGACCTTACACTGTATGAGTAACCGTTGTAACCACACAGGAGCTACAGTTAGAAACCATACGTCATCCTCCGTACTCGTCAGATCTTGCTCCAATGGACTACTATTTTTTTTCTTCTTTCTTTCATTTTTTTCCAAAAAAAATTCTTCCTTCACAGTTAGTCGAATCTAGATCCCCAGAGTTTTATCTTTCGAACTTACGTCATCATCATCATCAGCCTATCGCAGTCCACTGCTGGACATAGGCCTCTCCCATTGCACGCCACTTAGATCGATTTTGGGCTTCTCGCATCCAGCTCCTGCCAGCCATCTTGCGCAAATCGTCACTCCACCTGGCCTGTGGGCGTCCTACACTACGTTTGCCGAGACGCGGTCTCCACTCAAGAACTCGTTTTCCCCAATGGTTATCGGTTCTGCGGCTAATATGGCCAGCCCACTGCCACTTCAGCTTGCTGATCCGGTACGCTATGTCGGTGACCTTAGTTCTCTGCCGGATCACCTCATTTCTGATGCGATCCCTTAGAGAAACGCCGAGCATAGCCCTTTCCATAGCACGTTGAGCGACTTTGAACTTGTGGACCAGCCGCACCGTAAGTGTCCACGTTTCAGCTCCGTATGTCATGACGGGTAGGACGCACTCATTAAAGACTTTCGTCTTAAGGCACTGTGGGATCGACGATGAGAAGACTCGACGTAGCTTCCCAAACGCTGCCCAACCCAACCGAATTCTTCTGTTCACCTCGTCCTCGAAGTTGTTTCTACCTAACTGCAATGTCTGCCCGAGGTACACATAATTTTGAACAACTTCGAGAACGGCACCGTGTACCGCAATCGGTTCCGGTAGTACATGTTCGTTGAACATGACCTTGGTTTTATCCAAGTTCATCCGTAGGCCGATGCGTACAGAAGTGTCAGCCAAGTCATTCAGCATTTGCTGTAGGTCCTGCAACGTCTCTGCCATGATGACGATGTCATCTGCAAATCGCAAGTGAGAGATGTATTCGCCATTGATATTGATGCCACGCCCTTTCCAGTGCAGCGTCTTGAACATGTCCTCCATTGCATTTGTGAACAATTTCGGGGAAATAACGTCCCCTTGTCTCACTCCTCGATGCAATGGTACGGGCCTTGTTTGCTGATTCTGTACTTGGACGGACATGGTGGCGGCTTCGTAGAGACATCTCATCACTTGGATGTATCGCCAATCTACTTGGCAACGCTGCAGGGACTCCAGAACAGACCAGATCTCGATCGAGTCAAAGGCTTTCTCATAGTCCACGAATGCTAGACACAGGGGCTGATTATATTCTTCGGTCTTCTGTATAATCTGCCGCACTGTGTGGATGTGGTCTATGGTGCCATATCCGCTCCGAAACCCAGCTTGCTCCGGTGGTTGGAATTCGTCAAGTCTTTGCGCAAGACGGTTCGTGATGACTCTCGAAACTTACACTTAAACTTACGTTTAGATGGCAGCAATGTATAGATAATGAGGGTAAATATTTTGATTAAATGACTTTAGGGAATAACTCTTTCTAAAATATATTCACGTAAAATAAGTATAGACCTTGAATGTTAAGTATTTTTTTTAATAAATCATTATGTTTTTATGTTGGTTGTGCACAAGAACGTAATAAATAAGAGTATAAAACTAAAACCCACAAAAAAAATTGCGTTTGTTACGCAATGCTGTTTTATGTACGAGTACAATCTTTCTTTACTCGTGACTTTGTTGTCACGAGCTTCTATAGACACTGTTCTATCAACTGGGCACATACTTATTACGTTTTAATAATAAAAAGAAAATAAACAATTTGCGATCGATCTATAAAAGAATACAGCTACAACTACCAAAGAATATAGGTATACTGGGCGTGACCTAAATGTACTTACGCAATTTCGCGGCGAGTTGGATTTAATGCAACGTGAGCGCCTAGATGTTTACCCAACCTTAAAAATTATCAAAACATGAAAAATTATCATTAAAATGTATAATGGATGATATCACGTGATTATATCATTCTGTTATGAGATTCAACCGTTCCGTTATTTGTATTCACTTACAAAATTGCCTATACTAATAAGTTATAAGGTACTTGATACAAATAAAGCCTATGCTCAATCAAAGCTTGTAGTGCCGAAAAGTCATTTAAAATATATTTACATCAAAAATACATCTCACACATATAGACGATAGCTATACGGATCGGCAAAAAGTGCGCAAAACGTCCTCTCGCATACACAGCCAAAATGGAAAGCTGTCGTTGGTGAAAGAGAGGTGTTTTTGCAGCGCGTTTTGAATTTATCATGTTTTCTATCGAGTTTTAATACGATGTGTTATGAAGTTTTGTTTCAAACAATGATCATACGTACAGATCATAATATAGCTATGACTCTAAATTATAATTTTTATAATGTGTGAATTAAATATAGCATTAAACATTTCTTCAAGTACTAAATTTATAAACCACAGAATAATACCTTGCTTTTGTTAATCACCATAAAATCAAATATTGATCACCATATGAGTGTTTGAAGTAAAGTAGGCCTTATTTGAATCACTTACCTTACCTGATAATACCTAATACCTACTAAGACATGCTTGTTTGCTTATGACATTTTTTTAAATAATAAAATACTTAGAACTACTTTTTAGGGTGTAGGTATTGATTAAAACTAAGTATAACTGATTATCCGTGATCATACTTGCAACAGTGCCGAAATATCGAAAACGATGTAATAATATGATGATATGTGTTTGGAATGTGTGTTGTTATAGACAGTGCTAGGGAAAATCTAAATAATTATTTAAACTTTCAGAAAATCGAACTGAAGACAACACAAACGCAGAAAATCAGGTGGTAATTAGGAATCAAATTGAGAATGTACTTAGATAGATTATATCCTAGATTAATACTATGTAACCTATCTAACTAAATAACTATCTACCTACTTTGTAATCCTAAGTATAAAGAAATAGAACTCTATGCTAGCATAGTAATTTATTACAGTTAGTTATTAATAATTTTGAATATCAATAAAAATCCTGTCTTTAGGTTGACATTGACAATACATAACAAAACGTCTGCAGCAATTACCAGTAAACAAGCCCTTCACATTGTAAGTTCATCTTCATCACAAGTTAAACTTTTTTTGACGATCCAGTGCGAACTTGTATCCCTGTGGAATATTATTAAGTCTCTGTACACCAGCGTAGGTAAGTATGTTCGTGACCTGCCCACGGGCGATCGCGATGCCCGTTTTAATTCGCACAATAACGCACCGTGCGTTCAAGCAAGCTCGGTACACACGGACTGAATTTTGTAATCATTTTTTTTAAATACTTTAAAGGTTTTTTTTTGTGTACTTTACTGGTTATGATGCAATGCGGATGTCATTATCTACTAATCGATTTTTATGTAATATCATATCTGTCATGATTTATTTACCGTTTTCTCTCGGCCTGATATACCTACTATATGTAACTGTTTTTCTTAATTTCTCCTGATTACGGCCATAGTGATATTTTTTTTTCTCGTATAGATGAAATAAGTTTGTTAGATGACGCAGAGACATGAATTTTATTTTACTGTTTTGTCATGTAGGTACTACTTTTGGAAAGTGTTACAATATTTTTTTAATCTTGCAAAGTTCGTTTTTTTTAATCCAACGATTGAAATCACTATGAAAATTTTAAACGATATAGTTAGTGATATAAAAAGACACCAGTGCCATATCAAAATTAGGGTGTCATTGAGAAATAACGCGTTCCGTCTTTAGGAAAGGTAGACCTCCGAAGACTAATTACACATACATGTAAATTTCGTCATTATTTCTGGGTTTTAAGCAATCTAGCAGTTAGGACTACAAACGAAATAACTGGTTGTATTTAATAACATTATTTTAGTCAATTATAAATGTTACTTGAAGGTTTAACCAAAGATAAAACGCCATAAATAACTCTTTCACTTAATTGGTATTCTGTTTATTAAGAATGACCCCGTGTAGTCCTTGTAATGCATCCATCAGTCGTGAGAGCCCACCGCCCCCGGTACCATCGACATTCTTGCGAATTCTTTTATTTACGACAACGACAATAAAGTACTAGGTAGTTCTATCCAAGAATACTTAGTGTTCTAAAGGTCATAATTATAGGCTTTATAATTAGTAAAAGGTCAATGTGCGATTTGTTTTTTTTTTTATTATTTACTAAAAATTGAAATTACAATGTATTTCGAGTCTCTGTAGTTACGCACTCTTATATGGTATGGTACCAAATAGTTATTTGCAACAGCTGCTGCAAATAAGATACCTATCAGGTTATATTTGAGAACAGCAAATCTTGACGAAAACCTATGTGTTTTATGCACAATATTTTGA